AGATGATGGATTCTCCTCTAGCAGAATATTCCATTAAGAGAACTGTATCTTTATTGCAGTTAAAGTCACGTTCTACAAAGTCTTTGGGGAGAGGCACGTTCCCCATTCAGGAAGTTAAATCTTTGCAGGATTAGACCCYGGGCTCCAGGCTCTGGTACCACCTTGCTGTGGTCAATGAAACTGGGMTCAGGCCCCGTACGTGGTGCCTCCCATCCCAGAGCTGTGAAGCAGCCTGCGAGGGTGTGAAGTGATACTCACCGCGCGGTCAGGCCTGTGTGGGCTGGAGCATCTCTCGCTATGTCGTAATTCCTGTTTTTATTTTCACTCAGGAAGCAAATACCGGGCCTGCCTGATGAGCTGGTGCCTGCATGTGGCTCTGGCCCTTGAGAAGGCGCCTGCGTSTGTGTCGCGCTCCCCTGATCTGTGTGCGTGGGGAAGGTTGGTTGTGTCACGGCATCGATGGGCTGCCCTGAGCTCTCATTTGTAAGCAGTTAATATGTGTGTAAACATGTATGTGTGCAAATAGTTAATACGGCCTATTTACTGCGCTTTCACAAGGGCCTTTGGAACGGCACAAAGATGTAAAGCTTTTCCTCTTCTGTTTCAGAGGAAGGCRCATTTTTAGCCTCATGGAAAAGTTCGCGGTCACACGAGCGTTTTCCCGGGACGGGGCCGCGCTTGGGCCCGTTGCAGCCCCGGAACCTGTTGCGGGCGCGGGGGGCACGGAGGGGGCGGGAGCAGCGGGGGCTCCACGGGGCGCCCCGGGCCCCGTTTGAAAGTAGCACAAAAAGTTTCCAAGCGCTGCCGCAGCTGCGTTCTGGGGGGCGCTGATTGGCGGAGCCCTGCGAGGCCACGTGACCGACAGCCAATGGGGTGGCGGCCGGGCGGGTTGTGATGGTTCGGAGCGGCCGGGGCGCGGCCAGTGGCGCGTGGGGCAGTGCGGAGCGGAGCGAGCCAGCCAGCCAGCCGCCGAGCGGAGGGAGCGGAGCGGAGCCAGCCGCCGAGCGGGGCCGGTGAGCGCGGCGCTGCCGGGGCCCGCGGCGCTTCGGCCGCTCTCGCGGCCCGCCTTCCCCACGGGCTGGTTCCACGTGGCGGCGCTCGGCGCGGGGAGGGGGCGCGGAGCTGCCCGCGCGGCTCCGCCGGCCCGGCGGGTCCCGCGGAGCCCCGAGCCGCTGCCGCCTCTCGGCCCGCGGAGTTAGAGCGGGAAGCCTCAGGGTCGGCGTTTCGGGGGACGGCTCGTGCCGTGGTGGCGAGCGCGCAAAACGCACCCCGAAGTGGGAGCCGTTGCGGGAGGAGGGGCGCTCCGCTGGAGCAGGCGGTGGGAGCGAGGAGGGCCCCGCGGAGGCCCCTTCCCCCCGCGGGGCTCGGGGGAGCCYCGGCACTGGCGCCGGAACCGCCGCCTTCCCCTTCGCTCCCGGGGCGATTCTCTTCTGTGTGGATTAAACAAAAGAGAGCGGGCCCCTGCGGGACAGCACCGCCCGTGCGAGGAAACTGTTTTTAAAAGGKTTAGGTTTTGTAAGATTGGGAAATTACTTTTTGGTGGCTTTGGTTATTTGTTATACAGTTCAAAAAAGAAATCTGGTGGGAACTTCATTCTCTCTGCTGTGACTTAAACGGTGGTGTGCTGGTTTTTGCTTGTTTGTTTTATGGCACTGTTTTGTTCTTACAGTAGTTTTCCTATCTTTCGTTTTGTTACTTTATTAAATTAGGARTTGCTCTGGGACAGACTCTGGTGTAATAGTAGGCTAATGTTATACACCAAGTGAAAAATATTCTTCTGTTAAAAAAAAGGAATGGGAGGATATTTAACATAAAAGGATTGCTGTCTTTTTCTTCCTTTATTCTAAACCTAAAAGAGAATTTAAGTTGATGCCCTTATGACTTTGAACTCTGTTTGGAGTTTAACTGTGCTCATAGCATTTTTATTCTTAAACTTAAATTCCTTCAATAGTGTTTTATGATTTTTTTTTTWAATTTTTCTATTTTTTCCCCCTGCTGTTATTTTTGTGCAACTGTATCTTGGAACAAACACATGGAGAGTGTTTTTCATGTTGCAGAAATCTGCTCCCCACCCATGAACACTTCCACTTCCTGTATGATGTAGGGATTTGGTAATGTCTAGCATCAGCCCKTGTGCAGCTTGCACGCAGGAAGTGTGGCCAGAGGTATCTTCTGGCCTTTATGCGTGCAAAAATAATTAAGGTGCAGCCAGGGTGTCCGTGCTGTAGACTGTGACATGGGGCCAAAACATGTTTAGCCCCATTAAAAAGTGTTAAATCCCCCTTCGCTTTTCTCCCGTCTTTTGTACTGATCCTAAATAATGGAAACTTCCTAATTGGTTTTGTTAATTACTTTCCAGTAACTTTGCATACTAGCTCCAAGTTAGTTAAAGGTCCAGWGGTGAATGCAGTGGGAAATTACAACATAAAATCAGCCCTACACTTTCTACACACATGCTTTCTACTGCCGTATCAAGAAAGCAAATACTTGAGATTTGATTTTATGACAGTTGATCAAACATGAGCTTTAATACTTTGTTCAAAATGTAACCTTTTTCTTTTCACTTTTTATCTTTGTGAGCTGTAGTCACATATCTTGTGTGCTCTCCACCCTGGTATATTCTTAATGGCTGCTGCCCTTCATGGTTCTGGGTACGTTCCTAAACTAGTGGTTGCAAAGGCACTGAGTAACAGAAAGGGGCAGCATCTTTATGCTTCTCTGAAAATTCGCAGGATTCTGTTAACTCCCTTTTGATGCATAGCCCAGGTAGCAAATATATTTTTGAAAACAACRAAAGCTCTTAAAAGGAGGTTGATCTGTTGGCTCCTTTTAGCTCTTCCTAAGTGCAGTGTGAAAGAATAAGATCCAGCTATAAGGATATTCAAGTCTTGGGGGGCCACAGGAGCTGTATCTCTTAACTGCAGGTCTTTTGATTACAAATCAGTTTTGGGCACTTTTCAGGAGCAAGATGCCTTGTATTTCTTCATCGTTTTTATTATATCTGTTGTCTGTTTGAACAAGACATTGTGGGGTTATAATCCCTGCGTCAGCTAGAAGAATTATCTTTTGGAGACTTCTGAAGTCTCCTTTAATTTATGCAACGCAGCTCGGCATACCCAGGGTGGAATCTCTCTCCTTGAAAAACAGGAACTTTCTGCATTTCTTCAGGTGGTGAGAAATAACYGTCTTGGGGATACTCAGGCTTGCTCTTCTCTGGAGTGATTTGCCCACCGTAATGGAAGTTGGTCCTTCTTGGTTTCTTGTTGCAACTGCATCACCGCTTTGCACCTGATTCTTTCCTGTCCTTCACCTGTAAAGGAGAGAAAATCGTCTTCCTCAAGCTTTCTGCATGGATTGATGAAKGTGTTCACACATGCCTTAAGTATGCCTGTTTAACATCAAAGGCACTTTCAGTTTGCTTAAAAATGACAGAGTAGATATGTAGTAAATGCTCTTATGTCAGGAATGTTAATTGTGCTTCATTTCTCTTTTTGTATTTAATTGCTGAGTACTGTTTGGGAAATCTGTGCTGCTTTCTTGCTGTCCTTTCCTTCTCTTTCTGAAAATACAGCTAGCCAGCCTTAATACTTCTTACTGGAAACATGTCAATATATCAAAAGTGGTGTTTGCACCTGTTATGAGAAAAGAGATGCAGCTTTGTTTAATCAATGGTTTGTGTCAAGAAATTGAATTRTATATCTAAAAATATATATAAATCTTTTCCTTTACTCTTACAGCTCCCTATRAAATGTGAATATAGTTTTTATAAGCATGTAACTGATACTGTGCATCAAGAAGACTTGGCACAATCCTAGAGATGTGTGTTTCCATCCCACTTAGCTGTAACAGCCAGTTACTCTTTGCTGTTTTGCATCCTGAAAGTCACCTAGACTGTGAAAAGTTACTTGTCCTTGGCAGCACTGCCTGGATCTCTCAAGATTGGGCTCTAGATTCCCAAGGCGTTTTAAGATACTTGATACTGATATCCTCACTAGAGGTARGAATTTTTTAGGTTTGTCTCGGGAGTTGCCAGATAGTTAGATGGCTGTTAATCCTCTTTAAAACAGAGGGTTTTCAGAAAAGGAAAGTGYGAACACAGGTTATGAGTCACTCATACGCTGAGTGTAGTGTGTATGGATGTGTACTTTCTTTTAGCTGTGACCTGTAGCTCAGAAAGTCTATTCCAGTGTTTCCTGCATATTCAAATAAGAGAAGTAGAATGTAGGACTGGTACCTATAGGCTCTCTGAGGACTTTGGCTGTGCTTTTGTCGTATGCTGTTAGGATCACCTCTGGTGACTGTGTTTTCAATTTGTTTTGTTTTTGTAGATCTGCAGCTGGAACTAGATAGTTTGTTTGTCAGGTTCCCTCAGCCTTTGGAGTCTTGTAACTTAGGCTCTGACAATTGTCACTGTAATAAGGTATTTGACTCCACCTTTATTTACTGTGCTTGATCTATTGAGGTTTCCATTAAATTGATAATGGCTGTGTGGAATCATTGTGGAATTGTTGCCTCACCCAGGGTTGCACAGGAAACATTATCCAGAGCATTAAGTCTGATGCTTCTCCATTGTCGAGACTTAATAATATCACGTGCTATTTGCTAGTGACATATTTGTTGTTAGAATGCATCAGGTCTGTGAGAGAGCTTTTGTTTTTTGTTGTTTCTAGATACTGAAACCTTGAAGTAGGAGTAACCGGAGTAACCAACTTAAGGTTCTTGATTCATGTGGTTCTCTTCTATGTGTTGTTGCCATCCAGGATTGTGGCTAAAGTTTGTGTTCTGTGCAGCACCCAGAAAGTGGGAGAGAGACTACTGGAAGATAGTACTACRCTTCTTATGGCAACTAATAGGGCCTTTCCAACACTGGTGTTTAATTTGGTCTCCAGGCATCCAGTGACTTCCCTTAAGAAGTGCATCACTATGCAGGAACAAAAAAAGCCACTGGGGTAGTTTGCGACAGAACCATACCTCTTACATTTGATCCTTCAATTTTCYAGGAGGGAAGATGAAAGAGTTCTAACTTCAGCTGGGGCTTGCCATGGAAGACTCAGAAGGACATCACTTTAGCTCAGTGGAAGAGGAGTCTAGATACTGGAAGGAACTGGCCATGAAGTATAAGCAGTGGTAAGGCAATGATTTCATTCCTTTAAGCTGTTCAATATATAYATGCTGCATGCAAAAACATATAGCAGCACATGTGGAGAGAGTTTAAAGATAGCTGAGCTGTTTTGAGTGGTAGCTGTAGCAGTGTATTGGCACAGGCTGCACAAATTACATCAGCTCAGAGTCCTGTGTACTCATCTGAGCAGTGAAGCTTGCTGCTGTGACACCATTGCTTTTTGCTCAGGTTTGAGTAGGACTCTACGCTGAGTCTGTACTTCTGTCTGCACTTTGTGTATGACCTGGGTAAATATAGAACACACTGCAGAACCTTGCTGAGGTGGACAGCCTAGGCCGTCACAAATGGAGAGATGCTACTGTTTGCCTTCCACATATCTGTATGGATCAAGGATGGTTTGGCAGCACTTAGTTAGGTGGAGAGCCCTGCTTAAGATGGAGCATGCTTTATTCTTCCTTTTAGCTCAGTACATCACTCCAAATGCACTAGAGGTTGAAAAATTCCAAACTTGTCTGATGCTGGCATTGGTGGATCTCTTCTTGAACCAAGTGTTTGGACCCTTCAGCACTGCTTGTTCAGATTGCTGTAGTTTTGTTCTTTAGGGGAGGCCTCTTCCTTTTGAATATGTAGGTTAGAGAGAGGGAGGCAGTGTCCTCTTGCTGAAGAGCAGTACACAGAGGATTTTGTTTGTCAAGTATACAGGTGAGGATGTTTTGGTTTGTTGTGGTAAGTTCTGTTGCTGAAATTGCTCTTTAGTGCTGAGACTACACAAGAGGAACTGCGTGAGTTCCAGGAAGGGAGTCGAGAGTATGAAGCTGAACTGGAGGCTCAGCTGCAACAAACAGAGTCCAGAAACAGAGACCTACTGTCAGAAAATAATCGTCTGCGAATGGAGCTCGAGTCAGTTAAGGTAAGAATGTGAATTCTGTACAGTGTTTGCATCCTGTGCATTGAGATGAGTGAGGCTTTGCTGACTCAACTTCCCCTGTGGACAGCCAGTTTCAAGGAAGTTGAACAGGAAACTGAGAAGTCATGAAAAATGCACCCTGTGAGTGATAAATACCTCAGCTAATGTTGTGGAACCTGTTTCCTGACTGTGACTATTTGCGAGGATGGGTTTGAGATAGGAAAACATTTTTGATAAYAGTGGAGACTTTTTGAGGTTGTTGTCCGAAGAAATTGCACTTCAGTTACAGATAGTTATCCTGTTTCCCCTCCTTGTCCTATTTTTTTCATACTGATAGCAGCAACTGTACCTTGCTTCTTTGCCTCTACCTTTTTTAAGCTCATCTCTGTTCTCTTTGTATCAATGCTTTTGCAATATTGATGTTTTGCGTGTTGTGTCGAGTAGTTGTCTCCTGTCTTCCATGCAGCCACATGTATATCTGGAAGTGCTGCATTTGGGTAAAAAACATAAAGGTACAACAACAAAAACCTGTAGTCCATTTATTTAACACTTTAGAGGATGGACTGTTTTCTCGGGAAGTGTGAAGTGACAGGAGTGGACTGTAAGAGCAATCTTGCCACAATAATTGGGAATGAAGTAGGAATCAACAGAAAACTTTAAGTGGAGAGAAAACATTTTTAACTTCACAGCAGATAATCTTATAAAAACATACTCTGCTTAAGACAACTTCTATAACAATTGGTTATTCATGTAGTCTGAAAACTTCAGTACCAGCCTGCAGGGAAGGGACAGAGACTCCATTGATGGTCAGATCAGCTGATGGTTTATTACAATTGGCTAAAAACAAAGACTCAAACCTTGCAGCTCTCGTCTTTTATCTGAATCAATTCAAGAGCAAAACATTCAACTCTTAAAGCTGTTGAGCAGTAGCATTAACTGAGCCCTTCCAGGGCTGGTGTCTACATGTAGGTCAGCGCTACTGAAGCTTGCCAGGCCCACACAGCTTGTTGTTTTCAGCCTACGAGCCTGTTGCATGTGCTTGCTCCCTCAGAAACCAGAGTTCACACTACTTAAAACTAAATGTGTTGAGGGGTTTGTTTAGTGAGTCCTGAAAAGTTAACTGAAAGTAATAGGCCTCTTAAATCTTAAGGTGCTTAAATTTTTCATGCAGTTGTGTTTCATAAAGCAGGAATTACGGCAGTGTTTGACTATCCTGCAATCAAGTAGGARTTTCTTACTTCAGAATGGGTGTCTTTCCCTCCTCCTTGTCTCTGCATTACATGTGCTAAAACAACTCTCTCTAATAGTAATGCGAGAGTATACACCCTGGTTTTCAAATTCCTGTGTGTGGATTTGTTTTAAATGACTTAAGTGTGTGGTACTTGCAGGCTGGACTGTGAAGCACTTCAGGAATGCTACTTATAGCTGTCTGGCACCTTCAAAAAGAGTTCTTGGCCTGTTGAAGTGATCTGATATTGAAGTGGTGGGGATAAAGTGTGGTAGATCATGTGCTGTGTGACTTTTCACATGGTGTAGAGTTGACTACATGTGGATTTGGCAGAAGGAGAGAGATGGTGTTTGAGTGAGGTGTGGGTGAGGCCTTTGAGTGAGGAACTGTGTGTGAACAAGCCAGCTGCAATAGTTTAAATCTTTRCTATGGAGAAAGACTCAAAGCTCTCTGTATGCAGATGTTTCTTCTCCCTTTGCAAGTAGAGGGGAGATGGGGAAGCACAAGGGAGAATTGTCTGGGAGAGAAGGCCAACAGCCTTGTGCTGTGGAGGTTGGTAATTGCTCCCAAGCACCATCTACTGATAAGCAGTGATAGGGAGAGATTTTGCCTACTAGTACCCAAAAATACGGCAGCAATTGTCTTTGGGAAACATCACCTTATAAACAGTAAGATATTAAAAATCTTACAGCCCTCTCTCTTTAAGGGGGCTAAGTCAAAACCAAAAAAAAAAGGAGAGAATATGCGTTGCTGTGTTCCTGATACGCTGTTTGGTTTGTCTTTGGTTAGGAAAAGATTGAAATGCAGCATTCAGAAGGATACAGGCAGATCTCCGCACTGGAAGAGGACCTGGCGCAGACAAAGGCTATTAAAGATCAACTTCAGAAATACATTCGAGAACTTGAGCAAGCCAACGATGACTTGGAACGAGCAAAAAGGTGACTTACCTGTTTCATTGTGTTTTTCTTTCCTTTTTTTTYCCCCCCTCTCCAGCTTTGGCCTGTCTTCTGAGCAGGGTGGCGCTGAGCTGTTTTCGATGCTTGTTAGTGATGCCATTCTAAATTAGTTGTTCTATGTAGTGATTATAATGGTAACATTGTAGCAGATAAGAAATGTGACACCTCCCTCTTTACTCCCCAAGCACCTCTTCTTACCTTTCATGTCTTGGAAGCAAAAATAAAGAACAGATCCTACTTTCTCTTGCAGGATGAGTAGTTCTTGATTATGCTTAAAAGATGAGGTAATGACAACTTGTACACTCTTTTAGAGCCACTATAATGTCTTTGGAGGATTTTGAACAGCGTCTAAACCAGGCTATTGAAAGAAATGCCTTTCTGGAGAGTGAGCTGGATGAGAAGGAGAATCTCCTGGAGTCTGTGCAGCGCCTGAAAGATGAAGCTAGAGGTTGGCTAGTGGATGCTATTATTTCTCACTTTCTCCCCTTCCAATCTGTAACTGTCTGGTTTTCTCAGTGTATTTTGGAGCTTGTCTTTTGAATTTTCCTCTTTTAAACCTGCTTTCTGAAATGTAGCAGCAAACGGGAAAGCTTTAGGGTTGTCTATCCCACTCCTGAACTTCTGACCTCATTCCAGAGCAGCTCCCAGCAGCAAATATCTGCCAGTCTTCTGATCTCTGATCCCTTAGAGCCTGTCAGAAAGGGCCAACCAAGCTGGAATGCGTGCAGGTCTGGCTTTTTAGAACCTGCCAACAATACTGTCAATAACTGTRCCATATCTCCTGGCCTCTGAGAAAAGAAGCCTAAGAGATGCTAATGGGTAGTGAAATGCGAGGTCTCTGACTAACTTCGATTTGTCTCTGAGCAACTTCATGTGCTAGTGGCCTGGTACCTGTTGGTAAGACTGGATGGGAAGAGAGCCATACCTGTGCATATTCTGTTAAATTTGGCAGGAAGGTGGGTTTTTTTGCCTAAAGGAAACAYTTTGAAAAAATACAAAGCTTTCAGCCAGATCAAAGTAATTGTAATGTTAAAAAAAAAAAAAAAAAGGCAATATTATAAAATCATCTTGAGCCCAAGTCCCAGCAAAGCCTTTAGTGATTACCTTAAGTTTTAAGCATATGCCAGGAGTAATCTTTAGGGAGGAAAAATGACTTTATTCTCCTTGTGGAGATGAAGTAATCTTTTGAATAAACTAAACTTTTTAGCTTGCGTTTATGTTGGTGTTCACATGTTCCAGAGGTTTTGTTTGTGTTGCTTCTCCTAGATCTACGACAAGAGCTTGCTGTGCAGCAGAAACAAGAGAAACCCAAAACACCAATGCGAACCACTATGGAAACAGAAAGAACAGACACAGCAGTGCAAGCTTCCTTATCTGTGCCTTCTACCCCTTCGGTACACCGGGCACCCAACATGAACATACCCACTCCTGGGACATTTAGAAGAGGTGATTGACAGGGGACCAACACAAATGTTTGATGCACTTGTCTTCACCACACTTTTCTTGGTGCAGGAAGAGTGAGGGAAAAAAGGCATTGATATGCATATTTCAGTCATTGTGGTCTTTGTATTCACAGATGGTATTTTGTGTGTTTATTTGTAGGCTGTTAATTTCCACTGATGTCCCTCACCGTTATTACTAGATGGTTCACAGGATGAGCTCTTGATTTTTTGGTTATCACCTCACAACTGTCTCTGTTGGGCTAATTTAGGAGGAGAATTATTTGAAAATTCGGTGTGATCTTGGATGCCACAAACTCATTATGAACTAGTGTAGTAGTCTGAGAGCTTTTTTCTCTATTTTTTTAAACTTTTTTAATTTGCAACAGCAAAATCATTTTAGCTGTCTGTGCTGAATTACTTTATCTCTGCTTTCATGCCAGTAATAATACTCACTTACGAGTGTATATATTATTTAATATTCTAACCTCCAACACTAGCTCTCCATCTTCTTACCTAAAAAGATAGAAATTTGACTCAGAAAAGTGATTAACCATCTTCATATGTACAAGGCCAGTAAAYGTGGAGATTTTCTTCCACTGTCATACAGTGATTTGATATTTTAACTCTGATTATTAATAAAGTCTGGTTGTAGGCTTAGGTACCATCAACCTAAAATTAAGTTTCACTTACTCATGCTTCTGTAAAAGATAGGATTCAGAAATTCTAGACAAATGAGAGATGAAGATCTTTTCTAAGAAGACATCTCTTGTGGTCTCTCTGCATCACTAGAGAAGCAGAGTGAGTGCTAGTAGACATCTCTAGAAACCTAAGCCACAGTATATCTGAAGGCTTTAGCTTAGAACAGTGTAATTTGAGCTGTGTCAGTGAGGCAGAGCCTCATATTTTTAATGGACAAGGAATATCTGAAGGTCAGCTGTTGGTCACCTGGAAAAGGTGAAATACTGATGTTTCCTCCACTCTCTCAGGCTGTCTTCTGTCCTCCAGTGTCAAAGCTTTTCTTTTCCAGAGTGGGTAATGTGTTATTCTTTAACCTGCCCTGCAGGTTTTGAGGACGGTTACAGTACAACCCCTCTTACACCTGCTGCCAGAATATCTGCACTTAACATTGTGGGAGACTTGCTGCGGAAAGTAGGGGTGAGTGATTGGCTCTTAGCCAGCGTCCTGGGAAAGGTTGAGCTGTCTGGGRCAGCAGCCAGAGCTGACCCTCTGCCTTGCTCAGGGAAGACCTGAAAGAGTAGCTCAGCCTAGCCTCTCTGTTGATCAAACGTGCCTTGAAACTTGGCATGGGCTTCTTGTGTTTCTGATCACCTCCAAATAAAGGTGGAGGGTAATAAAAACAGGCTGTTGCCTGCTTCCCAGGAGGAGTGTGGTGAGGTCTGCYCAGTAATGTTTTGAGCAGGACCTAATGCCATATTAGGCAGTAACTTGACATTTAAGGCAGTGGTGCTGCTGAAAGTGTTATCCATGTGTTCCTTGTGTCTTCTCCCTAACCCCTATATTTTTTTGACCCAGGCACTTTGTGCTGAACTGCAGAACTGATAGAGCAGAAARATAACCCACAACAAAGGGGGGTTGTGCAGTGGAGAAGAGTATGTCAGTGGCTCAGTTTCCTCAGATGTTACCTAATACTTGTTCCCCTAGACAGGTTGCCTAACAAAAGGCTGTGGTCTGGCTGTCATTTTGGTGTCTTGTGAGGCATTTGTGATCAGAACTTATCTGATACTTACATAATCTGTGTTTGCTTTAGGCTTTGGAGTCCAAACTTGCTTCTTGCAGGAACTTTGTCTATGACCAGTCCCCAAACAGAACCACGGTGTCCATGTATATGAACAGAGATGTCCTTGAAACACGCCTGAGTCCTCACCAGCCTCTCTGTGATGCAGGGTTAGTGCTGATCTGCTCTTGCTTCTTAGTGAGAATCCTGTGGCAAGTAGTGTTCTCTTTAGTATTAAATCTTCAGAATAGTATTCTCTTGTTGATTTCTCATCTGGCATAGATTTCTTTAGAAGCGACCAGTTAATCTGGAAAACATACAAAACTGAACAGTAAAAGGACTAATTGCTCTGTTTTGTATTTGCAGGTTAGTGAAACGTCTGGAGTTTGGAACACGGCCTTCAAATATTTCAGGGTCAATGGGCCATCCCTCACAAGGTGTTGTCAAGATGCTGCTGTGAAAAGACTGTCTGACTTAGGAAAAGAATATATAAATATATGTATTTTAAACTTTAGTTTTAAAGAGAATACTAACGAGCAACCAGGCATCATCATAAGGGTAGGTGAAAACAGAACAAGAAGCTGCAATTGGCACTGGTCTCCTGTGCTCTTGCCCAGTGTGGCCTCTCAGCTGACTTGTGTGGCTAGTGTGATGAAGCAGTGCTGCCTGCCAGCACAGTACTTGAAATTGCGTCCTATGGCAATTACTCTAAATAGCTCCTTGAAGGTCACTTCTCTGACACTGTCAAAGCCAGTGCCCCTGTATCTGTGGCAGAGGCAGTATTCCCTGTGCAGGTCCTCAGGCTTTTGCTTTTAATATGGCACCATGATATTCAAACTAGAATTGTAACTGTGCTGGCTTTCTGGCTTGAGTGTTGTATGCCTCAGTCCTTCAGATTAGAGGAGATTTATATATATATATACACACTGCACATATACTGCAAAGCAGGAGATTTTGCACTGGCTTAACATACAGACAATTCATTTTGCAGTGTACAAAGCCTGGCTGTTGTAGGAAGCAAGAGACTGATCAACTTGCTAGTTCTAATATTTTAATAGATGTGTCRTTACTTTCCAAACGTCCATTTTTTTAATGTGCGTGGATTATTTGAGAGGCTTTTTTTAGTTTTGTTTTATTTTTTCTATATACATACATATTTTCAGTTGTTACTAGTGAGTAGAAATGACTTTTTAACCTGAAAAGTCCTTTCTGTTGACTGAGAGGATCAGAATACAGAGTTATTTTTAAATTAAACTCTTACCTACAAAAAAGTACTGCAACTTATCTTGTTTATCTTTTTTCTTTAAATGGAGGGGGTTCACTTGTGGTATTAATATATGTATTACAAAAACTGGTACTTAATCATGGCCAAACTTTTTTGAGGGAAGGTGGAGCTTATACAACAAAAGAATGCATAAATATTTTTTTAGAAGAAAATGCTGTGAAAACAGCCACTGATGCATCTGTTTGTCTGGAACAGGAAGTAACCACAGTTCATTCCCATTCTTCATGCCATCTACAAAACTGGCTTGGGAAGCAGAATAAAGCTTATTTTGAATGCTAATTGTTGGTTCATTTTGTGTCTTTTTTCCAATTTGCCATTATGATTTATGCACAGATGTTCGTTACCAGTATCTCAGCTGTTTCTTCTCGGTGGAACCTGAGGTGATCTTGGTTGCTGAATCAACATACAAAGGTCTTTCTGCATCTTATTCTTGCTCTCAGGGTTTCCTGCCCTGAGGATGTAAATAAGTCTATAGTTAAAGATGCTCATGGGATTTATATTGTCTAGTATTGTCATTGTACTTCCTTATAATCTTAGACTTGGCTCAGTAATCTGTGTAATGCTCTAATCTCTTTTAACATTACTTTGTCCTCTCCTGTCATATAGGAGGTRCATGGACTGAAGTGTGTGGACTGCTTTGTCATTTGTACTTATATGTGGATTCCAACTCAGTGCCCTCAGTGTGTAKCCTGGACGGATGACTCGGGACAAGTTGCATTTTTCATACGATATTGCCAGAATTTGCCTGCTTCGTGTGGAAGTTGACTTGCAGCAAAGTTGACAGTCACAACAGAGATAAGGAAGAGAGTTGGGGTCATGCTGGAGTCCCAACTGTTAATTTCAAGTGACTGCTACAGATGTTAGATGTAGATTATACTATAGATAAGTTATTAATATATTAGGGTTCAAGTTATTCATATATTAGGGATCATATTAATGTAACTGYATGTGTATCCAGGCAGACTATAGGCTGATGTGCCATTGAGAAATTTTCAAAATGATTTAGTCTGGAATAGTCATCTCTGCAGCAGGACATCTTTTGGGAGAGGACTATTAATGGCTACTTGAGGACTTACAACATGATTAAGGAACTGGAACAACTCTGTTATGGGGAAAGGCTGAGAGAGCTGGGACTCTTCAGCCTAGATTATAACGATGTCCCAGTCTCAACCCTTTTGTGATTTGGGAACTTTGACTAGGCCATTGCTGCAAAAAGAGGCTTTCTCTGGTAGTTTATGGTATTAAAGAAGTTCTTTATTTACTTATTCTATCACAGGCTTTGCAGAAYTGACTGGGGCCTGAGTTTCTCTAGTGCTGGGATGCTGTTGTAACTAATGCACCAATTGCTAATGTTATGTGTGTGCATGTGAATTTTTCAAATGTGTTCCTGCTAGAAGAATTCTGTGGTTCAGCTTTTGGTTCTGCTTTAAGCATTGGTGTTTAAGATCATGCTGCATCAAATCCGACTTTATCTTTTCATGTGTACAGTTATGTGCTTAACCTGCTCTTGAGTGTTTCTACAGCACCAGGCTCTGTGGCTGATGAAGCAGTGAACTYGGCTGTGTGTGCGCTGTTATGCTAACTCCTCATGCCCCTCTGTTGTAGTTTGTAAACTTAATGGCTGTAAATGGTTTCTTAGTTAAACTCTTCCTTTGCTCTCTTATGAGCAGATAGAATTCCTCAGGCTCTAGTTCTGCTGGCTAAATTGTGCCTAATTTGAAGTTTAAGCTCAGTGTTGTTTGGGACAATGTTTAGATTTAGCACATGATCGTATCAGCTGTCAAGGTGAATGATTCAGCATGACTTACTCTTCTGGTAGTTACACTACGAGAATGTGTTCACCTGTGTTGCCATCTAAGACATTTAGTAAAACACTCACTGCAGCTACATGAGTAGTTTTAGTAACTCAGTTCAGAGTAGCTTCATATCTGCTYTTCCTGTGTCTGGTTCTCTCCTGCCCTTGTGTGTTTGCAAAGCCAGCAGCTCTCTGGAAGCACTAGAGCTGCCACAATCTTGGTAAGTCTTGATAGTTCGGCTGCAGTCCTGGTGGAGTACTCTGAAAGTAGGAGTGTTGATGTGCTGAGCTCATGGTACAGATTAGCTTGGCCTAAGTCCCTGCATTCAGTATGGGTCGTTCTTTCTAATTGCTTCCTCCCTGCCTTAGAGGCTTTGGTTTGAACAGAGACAGGGACAAACTTTAGGGGTTGGGTCAGTGCTTAGACTTAGGCCCTATTTGYTTTCCAGCTGCAGCACCAGAAGAGGGCAGGTCACTTGCAGGGCCTGTGTCATGTCTGCCAGCYCTTGGATGCACCCTAGGATACCTTACGTAGTCCTGTGCCTTCCTGAGGTGGGAACCAGGCCAACATTTTCATTCCATTGACTGTAGTTTATGTTTTGTGAAAAGTATTTGAGTTTTAAAGAAGCTCTACTGCATCTCCCATTCTTTTCCCACATGCTGCCTTGCACCCCAGTGACTCCTGCACAAAAGAAAACTCRAATGTTTTTTTTATAGCCTTTTATTGTGTGTAAGCACATCCATGGTGCATATGAAACCATAACAGTTGACTTAATTTGAACAATGATATTTTATTTTTCRATAAGTGATTAAAAAGGCACTTCCACCTTGTGAATGGTGCATCAGGGGTGTAGTAACCAGGAAAGAAAAACCATATATTAATCAAATACTCAAGACAAAATGAAGGGTAGACAGATTTAAGAAAAGCTGACAATTGTCTCTYTTTCCTGCAGCAGTCTCAAAAATTGTGCAAGCTGCAGTTCACTGGGATTTGAGTTGAGCTACTTGAATTTGCTTTGTGGAAAATCCTCAAAGTGAATTAATCTGAATTAAAAAAACTTTTCAGATACACTTCATAAAATAAGTTTTGTCATACTTCATYCTATACATTGGAGAGAAGGCAGCTGTGCTTTTTATCATCAGAGGAGTGGGTGTGTGTGATCTTGACACTAAGAGTAGACTTATACAGTGCTAAATACCATCCTCCCTCCCCTTTCTGCAGTGCAATTTCTAAGCGTGTTGTTTATTCACTGGCTTTTGTTCCATTGAAATCTCCATCTCTCGCGTCGACTTCTTCAGCTCCTTCTGTTGCATTCTCAATCGTTCTTCTGCCTCCAGATCGACGGGGTGGGGCAAAAGATGTAGGCTCATTTCCCCTCCTGCATTAAGGAGAAAATCAGGTTTTAGATAATTTGTAGTCTTTGTGACTAACTTTTGTGCATGAGTTTTGTAATAGTACCTGGAGGCCTGAGGTTTTGGAATGTAAAACAGTGAGAGCTGTGGGGCCTAGTGCACTTCTGCTTTCCAGCCTACAGAACGGATCTGAGGACAGGCTTGCTCAGACTCTCAGTTGCTTGGAAGTGTGGTGGGGTTTCCTGTTGCTGTGCCTGATGTTCCTTTCTAAGTAGCCTTGTCTGCCTCAGGCACCYTGCTCTGTCCCTGCTTCTTGTCACTGTGTTGCCCTTAATGGGGACAGCAAGAGTGGCTGTGTCTCTCCCTGGAAGCAGGGGAGCTTCCCTCCTGTCTCCTTGGAAGTGTGAGGAGACACAACCTGAACTCCTGCAGGATGAGAGCTTGTCTGAATAAGGCCAGCAGGTACTGAAGGCCTGTGAGGCTGGGGCTGCAGGAGCRGTGCTGCAGAAATCTGCAGCCTTCTTGAGCCTCTGCTACTCAGCTAAGGCTCTACTGCTTGGAGTACCACAGGTGCTGCAGCAGGTATTGCAGCTTATGCTGTGAGTAGCTCCAACCTTTTCTGCAGCAGAGAGAGGGAAAAACCGTACCATATTTTGGAATTGTATCATAGCCCACGCGCTGATGTTCAATGGAGCAACTATCTTGCAGAGAATGTCTGTTTTGTTTTTGTGATTTCTGTTTTTCCCTCCCCTTCTTGCCCCCTTTTTTTCTTTTCCCTCCCCCATATATTTCATAGCCACGGCCCAAGCCAGAGATACCTTTTTATCCTCAGGTTAACTCTTTTGGCAAGTACAAACAAGTGAGATAAAAGATGGATTTATCTCTTCTTGGCCACTGCTACTCAACTACAAAACAAAACACCCATTCCATAAYGTGGCCTCTCACTTGCTCCTTATAAGCAAACCTTTGTCAAGGCTTGAAACTGCAGCCATAAACAATAGAAGAAATTAATGATGACAATGTTATGCCAAAATTGCTGATTTGGTGTTAAATACACCCATTTCCACACTTTTGACTACAGCAATCATGCGTAAATATTTAAAGGCTTGTGTTGTCCTTGCAGCAGACTAAGCCTGTGTCATGGTTTCTTAAGCGGCTGTACGGTTCCCAAACTCAATCTTCTGTACAAGGCACTTAGGCAAAACTTGGCTAAACTAGCTTATTTCAGAGGCACAAACCTGTATTGCCAAGGTGGAACTCCTCTGGCTATGTAATCTAATATTTTTCACTATTCTGTCCTTAAACTTTGGTGTAACCAAGCTATTATCTGGACCATAATATTGAGTCTAAGGTGTATTGTTAGCTCTCCTTACCTCTTCTGGTATGGAGGGCACGCTGTGAACTCAAGGGCATGTCATATGTACTCTATCATGTCCTTAGCAGAATGAAACATCAGTATCTGCTATTTTATGGTAGCAGATACTTGCTACTAACCAAAAGAAGAAAGCTTTGGTTGAATCAGTAAATAAAAGTTCCTGTCAAAGTTCTTCCAGGCCTCATCAGAAAGAGCTCCTTAGGCCTTGCATTGCTGCACTCTGGACTGTTACCTGCAAGTCATTTATCAGGTGACTTTTACAGTGTAGTGCACTGAAGTACTATATGGGAACAGGGAGCTAGTGGGAAGAAACAGTTCCTGACCATAGCAGGAAGCATTTAACCAAGCCTTGCATGACAGTTTTGGCTACAAAGAAGTGAACTTGTTAGAGCAGACCAAGCTCTTGTTAACATAAACTGTTGCAATCTGTGTAAACTTAAAACTTTCACTTCAATTGTGACACACCTTATGGATAAACAGCTTAAATCTGTTCATCTAAAACTGTCATTTGCATCACTGCCTCTAGATTAATATGTATRGTTGTGACAAGCCCTAATCACAAATATTTAGCTCAGTGTCTCTCTATTAATCTACCTTTTGAATAAGTGCTACTGGAATAAGGCTTGAACAATAGTCTAACTAGACATACTAAGGTGACTAAGGCACACGCACAAGGACAAAACATCCACTTTAAATATTTGTGTATTCATAGCAAAATCTAGCATATAWAGAAGATATACAAATATTACAAGGCAGTAGCTCATAAAAGCAGGTGTTATTCCTATCTCCAGAGAATGTGATAAAATATAACCAGGTGCTGTGCTAGGTTATAGTGTCAACGTTAATTTCTGGGTTTATGCTTTAAATTATAATGACACTAGACAAGCAACATAATGTCTGCAAATATCTTAAAAAGCCTAAGTAATAACTATTTGTAAGCAATACAAGCACCAAATGCTGTGTAATGGAAGGTGGTTGGATGGCATGAATGTGTGATAAATCACATGCAGATAAAGTCTTCCACATGTCCTGTGAGTTAGGCTCTTACCTGAAGTCAGTATTACAATATGCATAAGAATTACTGTGAAATTCAAACAACATGCTGTGATGCTTCCATTCATACTCATTAGTGTTTTTAAACAATTTTACTAATTAGCGTTGCATTTGTTTTGCAAGATTTTTGTCTCTGAATGTGGCTGTGAAGAAGTGTAAGAAAGTTCCCATGCAGAAAAAAGTAGTTTATTAGGTATTCCATGTTGATAGACCTTATGAGAAGTGACAATGCAAAATTGTTAAGTCTGCATCAGTACATAACCTAGTTGTAAGAAAGATGAATCTCTGATGATAGCTAGATTATTGTAATATTTGTCTTTTTTGATTAAACAGATGAATGCCAAGATATCCAAGCCTTCACAGTTTGCAGAAACCTCACATAAATATTACTTGGGCCAAAGAAAATGGAAGTTTGTACAACACAAGCTAGCTGCAAAGTTGAAGGCATGATACCTGCTTAGTCATTGCGAAGGTTCCTGTGTCCCTCTGAAACAGAGATAGAGAGTCCCGGGCAGTTATACTAAGCACATGGTTATTGTCAGAGGTAGGTAGGTTAATTTTAAATAATTAAACAAAGTACATTACAGCCAATGACATTGCATTCAGATCAAACAAAAAGTTTATGCTATACTGCATAAAAAGTGTTGGCTACAGCCATCCCTCTCTAAGACAACCAGGAGCACACAGCACCCAAGATGGGTGCTAATGGGAAAGACAGCCAAATTCCTCAGATTCTATATCTGAAATTTCATGGACATTATTGGCTAACACTATTGAGCTGAAAAAGAGTTGTGTGATATAACTAAGTAGGTGCTTTATTTTCATCTGAAATGCTCTTGTTTTTAGGTGGAAACTGAAGTTTCACAGTATGATGATGAGGATGCAGTAACTTCCTCATAATTCAAATCGGCCTCTTTATTTCTTTGACTTGGTGTTTTCAGGTCCAGCAAGTACAGGAGTACTCAGGTATGTAGCTGGCTGAACGCTGCTTTATCTTTTCCCTAGTCAGCAGTAACAGGAAAATGCAAAGTAAAGTTTGGGTCTTTTCTTGGTTTGACGGCACTGAATCCATATGTGGTAAAGTCCAAAAGGGACTTTGAGGGTAAGAGTCATATAATATGTTTAGTCTTCTGCTGCCTGTGATGTTGTATAAGACTGGTTACAGTCACTGTGTGGGAGTTGGGTGTGCGTGAAAAGCAGGAGCATTCCTACCCACTTTTAGCTGCACAAATGAATATATGTAACTGTTATTGTGAGGGATATTTTCAAAAACAACAGCCTAACTATACTCTGTTGAGGTCAACAGGAGTTTGTCAGAAAAAGCATAAGGCCTTTGTCATATTAACACAGTGCGCCTCACAGCTGAAAGCCTGAGAGTACTGCAGGCCATGAAATTCACTTCATCTTCTTAAGCTGACCTCTAGGTGTATCTGCCAAGCTAATATGAGGAGTCTGTTACTTCCAGTATCTTCAGAGTGTCTGGTCTTTTTTGGAACAGATTTTTTTCACTTCTGTAACTTAATTCAGAATTTTAAGGCACTCACTGAGTAGGAACAGCAATGTCAAACAAGAGCACTCTACCTGAGCTTGCTCTTCAGCGACGCAACCTCGCGGCCCAGGGCTTCGTTACTCTCAGTCGCTTCATCCAGCTCTCTCTGCAGCTTCCTGCGGTTGGCGTTGATACGCTGGGACTCTTCCTCAGCCTCCTCCAACTGCCTTTTCAGTTGCTTGAGTCGTGTGTTGCCCTTCTCCGCCTAAAGGAAAATTGGAGAGAAATACTTCTAAGTTGGAAGAAAGTTGAAAGCTTTACTTTCCTCATTTTCATATTTTGAGAGAACAAAAATCAAAGGTGGAACCTTAAAATGTAGAAAAATTWAAAAATAGTTTTAGCTTGTGGAAGTTTATTTTGCTGATAGGTGCTTTATTCAGCCATTGTTTCTTTTGTCTGCTTTTCTGCTTTGCAGGAGTGCATTATGTAAAGCTAAACTTCTTAGTGCTGGATAAAATGTGATCCATTTCACTCATGTACCAACAGGGATGTTGGGCACAGTCCTGTTTCACCCCCCAGGCACGTCAGACAGCTTCATCTGGCTGTTTGACAAGGACTAGAACTTTGGACTTGCCTCAGGATGGAAGCAAAATCATACTGTTGAGGCAGAGTTTAGCAGAGGGCTGTATAGCTTTCCGAGCGTGAAAGCCAAGCAGACAGTCTGCTTTCCAGAATGAAGAGCCTCCTTCCTCCTTGCCTTTTTTTGACATATATTTCTGGGACAGAGCAGAGAATCTTTCTTTCTTGTGGGTAAACCCCAGAGRTCCCTTTTACCCAAACTAAAACCTTCAGAACATAGCCCGATACCTGTTCTTTGTACTGCTCCGCCTGCTTTCTTTCATCCTCCACCTGCAGCAGTGCGTCCTTCAGCTTCTTGTCCTTCTGGCGTAACGTCTTGGCTGCAACTTGCTTCTCTCTGCAAATGATGGTGTGACACTTAGTGACCTGGAAAGCGTATAGTCCTCATCTGCCCCAAGTACATTGCTTGTGAAACTGGCACCAAGGACCAATATAAAGGCATTATTGAAGTCAACAGATGAATTCTGAGCAAAACTTGCATAAAAGATTCTCCTCTCAAAATAAATCAAATATGCATTTGACCTTGCTGGATGCTAGAGGGGCTCAAAGGAAGGAGATGATCTAAAACAAAAGGTGATTTCCTCACAGAATATTCCTGCATGGAAATTAATGGAGATAAACCTGGTAGGGTTACCCTAAACGGGTAGGGGACAAGATCTTTTGAWGCCTGTAGAACTTTCCAGTAATAAACTGTCCCTTAGAATCTATAATAATTGGCTGTGGCTCTATAAAATATGAAGTGTGGGAAAGACTTTACCAAACCCCAGTAGCGTTTGGGAGTCTGATGACCCAAATCTGTAYGYCTTGGTTTACTTGTGTCTTTGAGTAACTGGATCAATGAGTAGATGTCTGTGCCCTCTGGGAATTCAGTACCTGGCTTCCTGTTCCAACTGTTCTTCAAGAGAAGCAATTTTGGCCTCCAGAGCAGCAATTGTGGCTTTGAATTTGGACTTCACAGCTCCCTCCATCTCCTGCAGTTTGCTCTTCAGCTCTTTGTTCTGCCTCTCCAGTTGCTGCCGGGCACTTTCATTCTTCTGGGCAGTGGCGCGCTCTGTTGCTAGCTCGTTGTTCAGCTGCTCAGCCTGCAAGGGTGAGAATGGATGCTGTCTAAAGCACTGCCAGCTTTTGGGGAAATGACAAGGAATGTTCTTTGTGGCAATTCTCCAAATATTTATTCAGAACCACGAACAGCTTTTGCTAGATTACAAACAGAAAGGGACGGATGGACGGACACACACACAAACACACACACACGTACTGAAGGAACTCTACCTGCTGTACTGATTTCCTCATGCGATCGCCCATGGCTTCCATGTTGCTCTGTTCCTCYTCTAACTCCTCCTCCAGTTGTGCAATTCTTGCCTCCAGGCGCCGTTTCTCATCCTGAAGGCTTGTCCTGTAAGTTTAAATGTAGGAAATGTGTAGTTAGGCCCTGACCAGTTGACTGTGTCTGAAACTTTTAGGTCCTAATTCATGAGGAAAACAAAACTAGGTATTTCAGTGAGTGAAACAGGTCATATATGCGCCTATTGATTTGTTAAGGTAGATGGCTGCAGGATTCCACCTTCTCTAGGTAAACTTGCTGGTGAATGCCTCTTGACTGTAGCCTTTCAAGTGATCCAGTCCATTCCTACCTTCCAGAAGAAGCACTTGCAAGTTCCTCTGCCATCTCTTCTTTCTCCAGGTCAGCTTGTTTGCGAGCTCTCTCTGCAGCAGCCAGATCCTAGGATAAAGGAAAAAGCAGCATAGTAAAGAAACTAACCAGAGTTCAAATGAAATTAATCATAGCATGGTATGCAAGACTAGGATCTTCCTAAAACCAGTGTAAGCTAGGTTGTCGGGTTAATGGAATAAATTCTTATTGTATCCTAAGTCCTAGGGAARCACAACAAACCAGACAGCTGGTTTCTATTTTATTGGTTTTAGTGKTTTTTTTCCATTTAATACACCTAGGAGTTCTATCATTAACAAGACTTTGGGAATTTGTGGTTATTGAAAACAATTTATATTGGATTATACAGGTAATTTCCCCTTAAATCTGGTGCATTATGCCTTTCTTTGAAGATTTTTTCCATTCAGTCTGGAAATGTTCAGATGTAGTTCTGACAGCCTCATTGGAATACACAGAGGACATGGTAAGAAGTTGTTAAAGCTTTCCAACCTTGAAAGCTATTATATTTGTTGCTGTTCTTAAAAGTGCGAGTTGTGTTTTGCTACTGGAGATGATGTGTATTTCACAGTAGATCTTGTGCTTCATATTGCTCTAAAAGATTCCGGCTTTACCTCTTGAAGCTGAATGAGTTCTGCTTCCAGGCTCTTGGCTTTCTTCTCATTTTCTCTTGCTGTAGCAAATATTTCTTCTCTGGCAGCCCGTGCATCATCCAGCTCCCGCTGGTAATCCTTCATCTGAGCCTAGTTGAAAAGTTTAACAGTTTACTTTTGTTGGACTTTATCAAAACTTTAGTAAAAGAGAAGTTTTGACAAATGACAGAATGGTTGAGGTTGGAAGGGACCTCAAAATGAACATCACAGTTACTTGGTTATGAGAATTTAGTTAAAACTGACCCTTTAATCAAAGTCCTCTAACTTTCATATCATGGCATAATGAAAGACAGCAATGGAAAAAAAATCATGGAATTACATACTTGCAGTTTGCGAAGTTGTTTAATGGCTTCCTCCCGAGCTTTATTAGCAGAATCAGCTTGACCTTCTAGATCTTTGACATCAATTTCCAACTTCTTTTTGGCTGCAGCTGCCAGGGCACGTTGCTTCCTCTCATCTTCCAGTTCTGTTTCATACTCATGGAGCTGATCATTAAAGAAGATGACTAAGTTTAGGAAAGTCATTGAGCATGTTTAAATGCTTTCTRTATATATGAGTACTGTATATGCACTGTATAAATCAAGGACTGTAAAGTTCTTTAGTAATAGCATGAGACTGGTTACTTTCAACTTTTCAGGAGACATTTACAGAGACAACAATGGGAATGATACCTGTTTAAGCAGTTGTCGTTTCTTCTCCTCATTCTGTTCATCTCTGGCTTGCAAGTCTCTCTCAAACTGTACTTTCATGGCTTGCATGTTAACCTCCAACCTGAGTTTGGCATCTTCAGTAGCCTGTAACTCATCTTCCAGCTCTTCTAATTGTGTCTTCATCTCTTCTACTTGCTGTTCAAAGGCACGTTTGGACTTCTCCAATTCGTGGACCTTTCAAGCAATAAGGAATTAATATAGTTATTATAAAACATTTTTAAAAATCCAGCTAAAACATAGCCTGAAATATTTGAATGTGGGCAATGAATGGGTTAACTTACAAGAGCATCCAAAATGGTATGTTAGCATTTTTTGTACACTTGTACATCTGTCCTAAGATAAAAGATCTTACAACCTGAGATTTGGTATGTCACACTCTTTTCATTTTTAATCTAGTCAAGTATTATTATGGAATTCAGTTAAGATTAGAAGTAATATTATGTCACTGTAATTAAAAAAAAAGTACTATGGTGGAAACTTCTTGGAGCTATGTGATTGGTGCTCATGTAACTATATGAATGGTTTGTGAGGTAGTCAAATATAATTAGCAAAACTAGATCTGCAGAGTTTGCAGCTTCAAAGCTACAATAAACTAGCAAATGGCTTASAATCTCTTCTGTCTTAGAAATCTTCAAGAAACTTGACTTCAAGTCATGTCAGGAATAAAGAAGCTTGCAGCTGTTTTGCTAAGTCTTTTGACACAAATGGGATAGCCTTTGAATTCTGCATGAAATATCTGATATTGCTGAATGGATTTGTGTGCTACAGAAAACTTCTTGTGCTAAAATCAATGATTTTTTTTTTGTTAAAAGTTATTTTAAGTTTTTACCGTGGGAATGATTCTGCACTAGAAACTTACGTTCTTGCCAACATCATCTTTGGAGCTAACAAGATCTTCCATTTCAGCTTTCAACATTTTGTTTGTTCTCTCCAGTTCTTCTTTGGCTTCCAAAGCCTCTTCAAGTGCCCGAGCCAATGACAAAGCCTTTGTTTCTTTTTCTCTAGCTTCAGCTTCTGCTCTGTCCCTTTCATCTGCATATTTGGAGGAAATGTTTTTCTCTTCGGCTAGCATCTGTAAAAAAGGTAAAYACAGAAAGTCATTAGAATAAGGTTTTTATGTTGCAACTGTCTTGCMAATTGTTAATGAAAGCAAAAAAAATGTATTTTCATAAAGGTTTCATAAAGTTCCAGGAAAGTTAAGTGATAAGACTGAAAGGGAATTAATCTTAAATTCACACCTGATCAAATTTCTTCTGCTTCTTCTCCAGATTAGAGACCAGCTGACGTTGGTTGTCTAAGTCTACCACCAGGTCATCCAGCTCCTGCTGGAGTCTGTTCTTTGTTTTTTCCAGTTTGTCATAAGAAGCAGCCTTTTCTTCATACTGTTGTGTGAGACTCTCAATTTCTTTCTGGAATTTCTTTTTACCTTCTTCCAATGTTTCTACTGTGATGACAAATTCTTGTAGTTTCTTCTTAGAGTCAGACAGCTGAAATTTGAATTTGGAGAATGAAATTAATCTTACAGCAGAGACAGCAAAGCCTAATATGGAAGGTGGCCSTAAGACATCTATGACCCAAAAATCTTATTTAATTTGATCCATGTKAAGCCAATGGCAGTTACCAATCACTCATCCTTCATAAAATGAAGCCTACTACAGGACTAGTAGGCCCAAACAGGCCTYATGTGCAAGACTGTGCTGGAGTGTATCTTGCATTTTACCTATCTTGCATTTGAATCTRTCTTAGAAATCACACTGTCAAGCAGACTGCTGGCTCTGCCGTAGTGCTTCACTGATGCCATCTGGGCTAACAACTTGTTCCCTGAAGGTCCATCTGCTGTACGAGGTTATTTCTACAGATCTGAAACCTCTGGAATTACTGACAAAACCTCAGAGATGCAGCTAGTGATTTAGCTATGGCACTGATACCTGTATTGTCAGTGTTGAAATATGTCTCTCCAGATTTTGTTTTGCTTCCACTTCTTCGTCCAACTGCTCCTGCAAGCTGTTCTTCTCATCTTCCAACTGACGAAGCTTGGTAGACACGTTTAGCTTCTGTCGTGTCTCTTCCTGAAGCAGCTCCTATAGTCACCATATCAATCTGTCATTAGTTGARGTCTTCTCATAGAGCGTTTTATATATCTATAGGTGAGCTGTACTGGATGCAAGTTTACCTGTGTATCTTGCAGCTGGGATCCTAAGGTTGCAACATCTTTGGTCAGTTTGATTGTCTTGCTTTCTGCTTCATTGAGCAAACCAGTAACGTTTTCAACCTCAACCTATGAGAGAAGACAGTGAATATACTCTTTATTTTGAATGATTTCAGTACCTTCCTCCAACTTTAATTTGCTCTAGGGTAAAATCCCATCTTGAGACAGTATCTCAATCTGCTCTTATGCTTCTAGGTTACCTTAAGCAAAAAAAMCCCAAAACACCAAATCTCTGTAAAATATGTAACAGAGTCACYGATCACACCACCAGACCACAATAGTCTGTTCACTGTAGATACCATTACAGGCCACAATATATATAAAGGGACTATGTGGCTTAAAGCTTTTGCTTCCATGGGACAGCGTGGTTATAATCATTTCATGGTGTGATAACCAAAACAAGAATTCAATGTGGGAACCCTACAGTGGCCAAAAAAGGGTACATTCCATCAGAAGTCAGCAGGGCCAGGGAATTTTTCCAGATATGTCCTGATAAAGCAGAGTTTACCTGGTCTTCTCAAAGCTCCAGTGTCAATATAAAAGGTCACACTCCCTCTTACCTGTAATTTATGAACTTTTTCGTTGAGTTCTGTCCGAACACGTTCTCCATCAGTATACTTGGACTGCAAGTCTTGCAGCTGTACTTCCAGCTTCTTCTTTTTGTGCTCCACCTCTTGTTTGGCCTGACTCAGGCTCCTGATTTCACTAGCCAACTCAGCATTGTCTTTCTCCAGTGTCTGTTTGGTCTTATCCAAGTTTGCTTTAGCCTAAAAGCATTAAGTGAAGAAAGGTGATCTGTAGAAGGTAGTCATATTATACAATGCATAGTTTTCAATGAGATGGATTATTGTTTACCCGTTTAAATTGCTCCAGCTGCTCTGTTAGTTCTTCTACAGCCTGAGTGTGTTTTTGCCTCATCTCCTGGACTTGGGCTTCATGAGTTCGAGTCTCCTCCTCCAGAGCTCTCTTCAGCACTGTGACTTCCTGTTCACGCTTTGCTCTGGAAGGTAACACATATAAATGGAACAGCAGCAGATAAGAATTTTCCAGTAACAAGAAAAATGACACTACTGCACAGTTGCACAAGGTTACTGTGGCTGCCAAAGCTAGGAAAAAAATCAAGTTGAGAACTATAATCTAAATAAGTATAAGGCTGAATTACTTAGATGCCTAAAATAGGCAGTGCTATGACTGAAAATAAGATGCATATCTCCAGAAAAATAATCTAGATAACCTAAATGGACCAAGTCTAGACCTAAATGTCTAGATCTTGGAGATCATTGCTATCAGTGTAGAGAACCTTCCCACCTACCTTGCTTGCTTCTCATTTTCAAATGCACAAATATGTCTTCTTTGTTCCGTATGAATCACTAGACAGTAYTGTATAGAGCTTGGTGATTATTTTTGGCCTACATGCTAATTCTCCATACCTGAGCTCTTGCTGAGTGGCTGTGGTATCCAGAGTATCTTCAAGTTCTGTCTTAAGAGCCTCCAACTCTTCACCGAGGTCTCTCTTCTGTTTCTCTGCTTTGTTTCTTGCAGCTCTCTCAGACTCCAAGTCTTCCTGGAGATCAGAGATATGAGCTTCCAATTCACGGATCTTCTTGAGGGCATTGTTTTTCTGACCAGTTTCATCTTCAAGYCTGAAAGAAAAATATTTCATTTTATATATTGAAAAATTATTTCACTTTGGGAAGATCTTTCAGGAATTAAAGGTTTATACACAAGGTGTAATTTTAATTTTAGCAAAATGGAAGTATTTTATTTTTATGTTATCACTTTAATAGGAAAGATGGTTAATCTATCTAATGCTGTATCTACTTGTATTTAAGATGGCTTGTGATACTGTGCGCTTGAAACTATATATGTATATTTAGTGCATCGGTATTCTAGAGTTCTCAGTGGTACTTAATGGTAATTGTGAGCAGGAGGGTATGTCAGTAAGTTTTGGAAGTGCTGCATTAGATCTACATGTACCTACCTTAAAACTGTAGGTTCAGCTCATTGTCCTAAATAATGAACAGAAAAACTAAAGCTTTCCTCTCCTATATAATATCTAGGCTAAATGTAGGAATGTAGGCTAAAATAGCTGTTTCACATGTAAGATGGTGGCTCCCAGTGCAAGAAAGAACCAAAGAAAGAGGGGAACAGAGGCAAAAAGGACCTAAGAGCTAAACTTTATCAGGACACAATAAGTGGAGAAGCTAAATCTGCTCATTCAGCAGAAGCTTTGGATGACTGTTGTCCCACTAAGTTTAGAAGAAAAATTCACAGTAACTGGAGTGGATCAGGGTCACACTTAAGTAATTTTTGCCCCAAAGGCAAAATTTGTGAACTGTGATGTTACTCTATCCTTTACTTGACAGCCCTGTCAAGGCTATTGGAAACAAAACTTTTCACTGATATCTATAGGGCAGATTAGCTACGTCTATGAGGTAATGTCATTTTGGTTGCAAATGGAGGCTTAAAGGTAGGGGAAGCATGCAGAGAGGATATAACCGAGAGCTGAAATTCACAGCAGCAGCATCCCTGTCCCTGGGAAGGGAGAAGTTCTCCAGCTAGAGAATTGCAGTGTGCCTGCAGGTACAGAGCAAATGGCTACCTAGCTAGAGCAGCTTGCAGCTCTTCTTCCTTCTTGGCCAGTTGCATCTTCAACTCAGCAATCTGCGCCTGGAGGTCTGCAATTTGCTCATGCAGATCACTCGAATCCCCTTCCAATTTCCTTTTCATTTTCTCCAGTTCTTGTCTGCTCTTCTCTTCTTTCTTTAGTCTCACTGAAAAAAAAAAAAAAATTTTGGTCATGGGAGTGTGTTAGCACAAGGATTCCTTACTGTAACTCTGAATGTAGACATATGAGCGCTTTGGTCTGTGGTGAGGCTTGATGTTTAACTACAAATCACTGTTTCTGAAGAACCAGGCAGGACCTTGCTGTCCTCACTTACTTCTAGCCACCCCCMAAAAATCAAATATTTCTCCTTTTTTCAGAAGCAGCACTAACTTTTCCTAACTTTCTTCCCTTTCCTCTTCTATACGAGAAAAGTACATATCCATAGATTAGGCATTGTTCTGACTCTAGGATTTTGGTGAATATCATTCACGCTTGTTTTGAAATAAAGTGGTTTTAGCATATGAAATGAGACCACACAAAAATGAAAAATGTCCTCTCCAAATTCTGTTTTTTCCTTTTTCTTGTGTGTTTTTTCAACTAAGTATCAAATAATAACTGATGCACATAGTAAAACACTTATTCATGTTACCTTCCAGTTCTGAAATCATAGATTCATGTTTATTTTTCAGCTTTGTAAGATTTTTGGCTTTTTCTTCCTCCTCTGCGAGATTTGTTGTTAGATCACTTACTCTTTCCTCAAGGAGTTTTCTTTCCTAAAGAAAAATGAAATACTTGTATTATCTGAAGTATCTGTTGGTGAACAGAAAACTGACTAAAAATGACCAAGATACTGTTTTTGAATATGCATATGCTGAAACTGTAGTGACATATTCCAACCTGCCAATATCAGAAGTGATGAAAACTGGTTTCTAGTACTTCCATATTCTCAAATCTGTTGCTATTAGGCTTTGGTACAATGTTCAGAAGAACATTTCCTTTCAAAAAGTACTCAAATACATGCTTACTTTCAATTTTATACAGAAAGCTTGGTTGAAATCGTTGTCTGGCATCTGCCTGAAAGGCTCATTGAAATGTATAGAGAACCTAGAGAAGCCTATGGATAATTCAGTGCTGGAGGATTGGATGWGCCACTCTTACCCAGGTAGAACTGAGTTAGTAACACATATAGCTGACAAAGACATATGGAAATTCTTTCAAACAATAGTAGGAGCATTTAAGTGGGAGCCAGATAATGCTAAACACCTTATTTAACAACAAAAAAGCCACTTTTATGTGCCAAGAGTACATTTACTCCACTGTTTGTGCTTGATTGCTGTGGAGAATTTTTTTGAAAATACTGTCCCCAAAACAGATCTCAAAGCTGGACCCACAGCACTCACCTTGGTTAGCTTGTTATTCTGGTCTTCCATTATGAGAATATCATCTTCCATTTTCTTTATCTTGCCATCTGCTGTTACTTTTTCAAGTTGCAGTTTTTGTCTTGCAGCTTCTTCTTCTTCCAGCTGTTCTTCAAGGTCCTTTTCAGAAAGAAACACAGAGAACGTGTGTTCTACTACTTGGAATGTAGAAAAGGGTTAATATGTGTCAGTCCAAGTTGGGTGTCTTGCAGGCTTTGTTTTTACTAAGAAATAGATGACTTGTACTAGCCTAGATAATTTAAAAGGAAAAGTTTGTTAAAATAGTTCTTTAGAAAAAGAAAGAAGATCTAAACTGARAGAGGGGAAGGATGTTTATGAAGAACTGAATAGAGGAAAGAAGCTCTATTTTTCAGTGGGATTAATAAACTGCTGTACAGCAAACATTTTCATAGGATTCAAAGTTTGCCGATCTCTAATTTTTCTTTTACTTATTGTCTGTATTCATGGCTTATGCCTGCTTACCAGCATTTGTTGTTGCATCTTTTTCTTTTCTGCTTGCAGCTGTTGGCTACGTTCTTCCTCTTCCTCAATTCTGGCTTCCATTTCATGCAGAATCTCTTCCAGCTCTTGTTTCTTAGCAGCTAAACGGACTCTCATCTCTTCAGCTTCAGCATACAGTTCAGTTTCTGCTTGAAGCTGCTCTTGAAGGAGGTTCTTCTCTTCACAAAGCTACACAGATAATAAAATAGGCAGGAAGTTAACATTTAGGCTGTAAATGGCCCATGTTGTGTTTTGTAATTCTAGTGTTCAGGTTGGTGGCTGTACAACACRCCTTGTGCGTGGAAGTTAGGCCTATGCTGAAATAGCTGGGAATTTGCCTACACCAAACTTTGATTCGGRTCTATTGCTATGAATAGAAGTGAGATTTTAAGTAAACACCTTTATTTTAATACTTCTAGAAAGAAGAAAAAGTGATTAGCATTTCCTGGAGGCCCAGCACTGCACATCACCTGGCTGTGTTTCTGTTCCAGCTCCTTCAATTCAGTCTCTGCTTTTTGTTGTCTTTCCTTAGTTCTCTGCAGTTCTTCATCCTTGGCCTGCATTTCTTCTTCTTGGCGAGTGACTTGCAGCAGTGGTTTCACCTGGTAGGGAGAAAAGTTTTTTTTTATGAATGTTTCCTTTCAGCATTTACGTTACTGAATGCAATATGTAGAAGTGCCAGGTTAACTGGTGCTAATAGCACTGTCTGTTGTTGCTTGAGTAGTGTGCTGGTTAACCAAGCTTGGTGCATATATCTTTACATCATCAAGCCTCAGCAATATTGTTCTTAACCACATCTGCATTAATTTTYTTAAGCCTTGTCAGCTCCTCTGTCTTCTATTGTGTTATTTTCTGGGAGAATTCTGAGTCTGATTTCATGCATTTAAGAAGTGTAAAAGCTGTCTGCTGCATGGAAGGGCAGCGTATACACTTGGGGGTTATTGTCTGCTTCTGCTTGAAGGTAAGGTTGCTCTCTGTGCAGTTAGAAACAGTTTCTCATATCCAAAATGAAGGCTGTTCTTGAAGAGACGGGCCTTCTYCAACAGAAGGCAGCTTAGGAGGAAAATGTTTAGTGTCCCAATGAGGGAAATTGAGTTATTGAGTTTTGTGTAGTTAAGTAACTGCGTATCCACAAATTCAGTTTTACTCTCTCTTCTCATTGCACACATATGTGAACTTGTTCCATTTCGACAGTTAAATAAAAGTCCCCCAAAATGCTACATTTTGTATGAATCTTTGCTTAGCTAGCAAAGTTTTTCATTTTGACCTACAACTAGCTTTAATGTTAATGGTATTGTATAAATACATCTAGTGTTTCTCTAATCCAGAGTGTTCCTGAMATAACATGACTTGGTATCTTGTGCATTCTGTTTCTTTTGGAAAACTGTGGATAGATTCACTGAGAACAGTCACTCACTTTAGTGAACAGTCTCCACCATTGCCAGTTCCTCAGCTTCAGGTAAGCAGCACAGTTTCTCTGGATAACCTTCATTGCAGTGAGCTGCTGTTGTCTCTTGGCAAATGCTCTGTAATTAAAAACACAAAGCAAATTTGTTCAGTCTGGGAACACACAGTCTCTTAAAGATACGCACATTAAGCAAAGCAGCTCTGCATGGGAGTCTGMTGATGGGTCTGCTGCTTTGCCTCATATTTTGGAAAGGCTGACCAAATTATCTTATCACTTAAAAAGTGTCTATGTTTTATGTTTTCCAGATTTTGTTTAGTCTTCTACTTTTTTGACCATTTATGCCATTAGATGGGCACAAACCACAAAGTACTTATCTCGTTCCGGGTATGAGCAACTTTCAGAGTGCATGGGCATTTAGAACTGGTATTGATGATCACTTTTTAAACCTACTAAATTCAATTTTGATTGCCTGGTAACTTGAAAGTCTTGGTCAAGCCCTGAAAAAGGGCATTATTGATTATAGTTTTGTGACGTAGATTAACTGAGATCATGCTGAATGGCTTAGTAGTCTACTGCTGTGTAAGAAATTATCTCATAAATTCCAATGGTGCTGCTATTTTTATCATAGTAGTGCTTAAGATTTCATTCATAGGCAAGGATGCTCCTTGTGCTCCCTGTACAAATATATGCTTAACTAAGCCTATTGTCTCAGAGAACTTGCTTACAGTACAGAGAGAGTAAGCAGTCTTACAATGTAGCTGATTCTTTCTAATTGGACACTGGACACAAGTTGAGTGCTAATGCAATACAAATAATTGGTAATTAAAATTATGAATAATCTTCATMTCTTGTTATACAGATAACTAAAAGCTACTATAAATGCTTTGTTCCAAAGACATTCTGTTTCTAAGTATATAGTCTTACTTTCTTGCCAGATAGCCTCGGCATTGAGCCTGGAAAGCAATAATAACATCTGTGATCTTCAGGTCTCTCTCTTCTTCCAGATGAGCCAGGACACCGGTTCTGAAGAAGATTTTACTCTGTCCAATTCTGTACAAGTTGGGATCAAGTTCTAATGCTTTGATCTGGAAGAAAACAGGGATATTTGTTCATGTCAATGCTGAGGTTTAGAGTATTAAAAAGTACTTATCATTTCTGTTTGCTCCCAATCATTATTATACAAGGTATAGATTTGATTATCAATAAAAGCAAAAATGCTGTTCTCACCATCAGTATGCAAGCCTGCTTCCCATCCATGAATCCTTTAGGAATAGCATTTGCAGCAAGAATTTCATATCTGCCAAAAGATTGGGGGATGATTTAGATGGGGGATTTAGACTATTGTGCACAGATTATCAATAACCACAGAAGTTATCAAATTATTTTGTGCAGGGAGACATGTTCTGCCCATTCAGAACAAAGAGTWAGGACAAGGTAAGGGATCCCTACCGCTGGCGGAACTCCTGGAAGACAATTCTGTTGGGGAAGCCCTGACGGCAGATCCGAATGCCTTCCAGGACACCATTGCAGCGCAACTGCTCCAGTACTAAGTGGGCATCAAGCTTGCCAGCCTGAAAAGGGAACATACAGTATTTTTAGGACAGTAAAAATCAGCAGAAATATTACTGGCTACATATTTATGCCTGAAGACATTCAGCACTGCAATGTGCTGTTACAGCGAGCTGCACTCTGCATAAATAACATGCCAGAATTCTGAAAACTGAGCATTTGAAATTTACCCTTTTCTCGTGATTTGGAATGATACAGCGAACAAAGTTGGGATTGGTATTCCTTAGGGTGGTCATCAATTTGGTCAGCTGTTCCTTATAGAGTTGGCCAACAGTACGGAACATGCCTTTCTTGGTTTTTGAAGAACTGGGAAGTGAGCTTTCAGTCATCTTGGCCATCTGGTCCAGCCCAACTATACGGTCCACTAAAATGTAAAAGAAAGTGTGAATCAAACTGCCCAAATGAACTATACCTTCCATCAAGTTGTCAAAATGTGACTTCAAAAATACTTAAAGTGACATAGAGGCATGCTAATAAAAGCTCTAGAAGGCATTTTAAAGTAAATAGAAAAACTCCCATTTATGGATGGTTCTCAAAGTCTAGCTAATAATTTCCCTCAAATATCTGGTAACTCCRCACCGTTTGTGCTTACAAGGAGGCTTCCAAGAAATACCAGCATTTCTCGCATTTGTTTTTGTGCAGGTATTAAATATCTATACATGTTGTATGTAAATATGTAATGTAAATATGTATACATATATATGGGTTCCAGATCTGTTTTTTTAAATGAAGTGTTTTGTATGTATACAGCCAACCCCTAATTGGTTTTACCTGAGATTACATGTGACTGGAGAGAACTGTGCAAGATTTCAGCAAGAGGAGCATGTGAGGTAAGGACTGCCCACATTCATGAAAAGCAGTCATAACCTGTATTAGACCAACAGTTCAATATCCCATTTTCATCAATATTGTAACAGTAATTAATATTTTTTTATGTTGCTGAACATTAGGGAATATTAGGTAATGTATTTGATAGTACTTAAAACTATCCAACAATGAATTCATAAACATGTATTTAAAATGGGATATTACTGCTTTTTAGTTCAATCTTTTCCAGGCTTATATTTTTCATACACCTTTGCTGACAGAGAGGGGAGGCCATCAGAACATTTATGGTAAGAGAATTTTYTTTCTCTAGACCACTTTACTGATTTAGAATTGTGTTTCCTACCATCTTTCCAAAGGTCTGCCACAAATTTGTCTGAAGACTGGTTCAGCAGAGAAGTCACGTTGTCATTTAGTGGATCCATGTTCTTTGTTAGCCAGGCCGTTGCGTTGTAGTTAACCTGCAGGAAACAGTGCTAGGTTAAAAATCTGTTGATGCAGATGTCGATGCAGAACTAACTCTAGAGTGGTAAGAACACAGGCACCACAKTAACACAAAATAGTACAAAATAACAATAATATGAAAAGCTTTCTGTAGATGAGAACTGATTAGTGTTTGAATCTTGCAAGTACTTAAATCTAAAGGTTTTTTTTGCAAGAAATGAATCCAAATTGCATGGATTTTCAAAAGCTCTGGTGCTGAATATTTTTTTGTTTTCATGTGAGCATAGCACAGCCATGGCTGTTTTATAAATCCTATTCATGTATTACATAATTAAAGCATTTATGCATATGCATTATATAATTAATTATATAATTAAATTATATAATTAAAGCTGTTCCATGTTAATTGGAACACATGAACTGCTTCTTGTTCAGCATTTGGACACAAAAGAATTAACATTTCTACATCAAAAYAGCTCAGTTTGCCCAGTACCTTTCCTGCGTAGTGAATTATAGAGAACTCAGTTTTATCTTTAAGTTGCTTGGTCCTCTGGAATTTGGGATGATTGCCTTGTTCTTGACATAGTTTATCCACAAAAGATGTGTCAGTAGCTTTGGGGAACCAGCACTCTTCATCCAACAGAGCCAGAACGCCAGGAGGGTTGGTCTGCAGTGTGAGAATACCAGATCAGGATCATCACAGCCAGAGACAAAGAAAATGCACCACCTTCCTTTTCCTCTGTGAGATTAATCCCCTCAGGCAATAGAGGATCCAAAATATCTTAAATGGCTCTCTTACTGTACTTTTACRTAACAGATCCTGATTAAACCTATGCAGTATCCCTCCTATAGAGATAAAATCTTACTGGTCTTTCAATCAGCTCAATGCAAGGTTGCAGGTCAAGGCCAAAGTCAATGAAGTTCCATTCGATGCCCTCACGCTGGTATTCCTCTTGCTCCAATATAAACATTGTGTGGTTGAAAAGCTGCTGAAGTTTCTCATTAGTATAGTTGATACACAGCTGCTCAAATGAATTGACCTGTAGAGAAGAGAAAAAAAGACAGAATTATTGAATTTTTAATAATAATAATAGAAAAAAAAAACCTGCAAGGAGAAATTTAAAGGACAAGATGAAATTAAATATCTTCTATTTCTAAGAGCATAGTAGTTCAAATATAAAGACACTTTTTTTTTCAAATTAAGGTCTTGAAAGCTTACAGTAAGTTGTTAAGTGTTAAATCTCTGCACTGGGACCTATTTGATTCCCCCTTCTTGCCACCAGGGGAACTGAAGGCTGCCTCTCTGAGGGAAAGGCAAGCAGCCAGATTAATAGTCCTGTGAGATGGGCTGGCTGTGGGCTGCTAGCCAACCTGAAGAACCAAATTGTTTTTGCAGATCTGAATTTAATTTGTTTGTAATATTACACGATCTCTTCACTGAGAGGAAAAAAAAGTATACTAATGGTTTGTGCATCCAAAAGATTGGTTTGCAAACTCAGTGGAACAATGATTTTCAGTGTGCAGAAGTATTGAAGACATTAAGCCAGCTATGTTCTCCACAGTCTGAACTACAGAATAAAACAACCCACAGCAGGACAAAAAGGAATTTTGGCCGACCTGTGCCTCACGGACCATACCTCGAAAATCTCAAATCCAGCAATATCAAGGATCCCCAAGAAGGAAGCACCTTGTCTTTTTGTTTTATCTAGAGCTTTGTTTACACGAGTCAGAATCCAGCGGAACAGACGTTCAAATTTTGCCTTGGCCAAAGCCTCTATAGCAAAGTCAGCCTGTGAAAAGAAGAGATTATTATAAGACTTGAGTTATAAGAAACTCAAATAGATGTTAATTTATGTATAGAAATGAATAGGGAAACAGAAAACTGACATTTCCCTTTAGACAAGTTGTAAAAAAAGAAGAAAAATATTTTGAGGATTACATACCTGCTCTTTGGTCTGAGCTTTCTGCACAACATCTCGCCCCACTTTGATCCTTGGGGTTAGAATAGCCCTTGTGAAATCTGTCACGTTAATCCCCATCAGGTGACACACTTTTTGTGCAGCTAAAATAAGAGTGATATTTTATTTCAGTATGAATTCTCTGTTAGTAGATAACTAAGCATAAATATAAGCAGTTCAATAAATATGTGAAATTATCGTGTTTTCCTTAAAAACTCTTTTTTTATACACACAGGATGCAATTTACCACAAATATGTTATTCATGCTGCCAGCAACAAATACACTGTTCATCAATTTATGGATTCAAGAAAAGGTAATTATAATTGTACTGATTTTAAGTACAGAATACCTTCTAAGGCCATTGAAGTATCTCTATAATGACATGAATTTAGATATAGATAAGGAATTTWAAATAACTGAATATTAAATATAAGTAAATTAAAATTACTGATAAATATTGTTTACTCAGCAGGTATTTTGTTAGTTTCTTAATGTTAATTAATTGTTTTAAATAATTAATCATACCAGTATTGTCTGGCATAGAAGCTTGATCAGTGTTTCTCTCCTTCTTGAAGACAATATTACCCAGCTGTAGGACAGATGAAACAACCCTCAGTATAGCTGTAAGAAAAATAGATAATATGAATGAGGAACAGCATGTGCACATTCTGAAAACATTCTCTGCAAAACAGAGGACAAAATATGGCCTCTGGGGTAGTCTGTACCTTTATGGAAAGATCTGGATTTGCCTTAAACTGTGCAAAAGTTGRAGAACTGAATGAAGAGCAGTTTGGATGATCAATGTCATGGGGTAAACAGGTCAGACTGGGAACACCTGCACTGCCACATTAAGCTGTGCTTGTACCTTGGTCAGACCCCCCGGTCTCAGGGGAACTCTTGATTGATCTCCCATGCACAGTGGCCTGTAGCATTTTACCCACTTGGACAATTCTCAGTCTGCAACTCTGTCTTGAAAATCAAATGTATCATTGAAATACCAGCAGCTTCAAAGGAGTGTGACACTTCTATAGACTAGAATTAAGCAGAGAAATGTGGACATTCAATCATGCAACTAAAATATGTCCAGGCCTTTACAGGATTAGCGCCAAATATTTTGGGTAGAAAAGCAATTAATATTTGATTACTAAAACATGAATGTGATGCTATGTGACTTCAGGTAGTAAAATCTACTGTGTTTCAGATGAGATTGTATTAATGTAGAGATTTAATTCATTTTGTTAATTTGGTGGTTTACAAGGGATAATAATATTGTCTGGGTGGGGGCTAATATTTTAGAGTGTAGAATGAAGAGGAATTCAGACGGTTATACGAAGATCCCTACTAATGTCAGGGAGAACAGTGCAGTCAATGCTGATATATATGCCGGGGGAGGACGAGTCAGTCTTCCCTAGTAATGTCACTTGACTTCACCAAGGCTGCGGTTTGCACYACTGTCTGGCAGGGCAAGACATTCGTCCTTGGCACCCTCAGTTACTGTGCAGGGATGGGAGGTGATGAAGCTCAGCTCCCTCCCTTGGTCCACGGTTCAGGTGAGGGGCTGCTGCTGTTCAGCCAGCAGGTGTCACTTGGGACCCGGGCACTGCAGCCACGGGCAGTGCACAGTGGTGTCTAAAACCCAGCACTCTCCCAGGGACACGGAGCTGGAAATGTCACCCGGCTGAAGACTGTGACAGGCACACATTTTCAAGATAGTTTAGTTTGTTTATGCTGTATGTTTTTAGTTCCTTTTTCTCTGAATCGGTGAATACAAATATTCACTATTCAAAGCTGACCCATTTCTTTCAAAATTAAATCASAATATTTTCCAACTTGTTTTTCGTGCTAGTCATTGTTGGAAAGTTCCAAAAAATGGCTTTAAATGGTCATTAGTGTTAGAGCTGGCTCAAATTCAGCAATCTGTTCTGGGTGTGCAGGGAGCTCTGTTAGTGAGATGCCTGAAGTCTGTCCTTTTACAGACACAAATTACATTTCAAAACACCACATCTTAYGGCACTTCTGCATGCTCACAACTTTACTGTTGGAGTGCAACCTGGTCAAGTGTGCATGTCGTGTTTCTTCTACAAGAGGAAGATTTATAAGAAAAAATATCCATGCAGTTCTTCATCAAAATGGATGACAAAATATTGTGGCAAGTATTTATTTGATCCACAGTTTAATTACTGTGTAGAGCTGCCATGCATTTCACCAGTTGTTCTGTGCCTCACAATGATGATAAGTTCTCTCTGATGAAATAGCAGCATCACACTTCTCCAGAGAAATATGGATGTTAAATGGGAATATTGATTTTCTTATATGAATGCACTTATTTCATGTGTATATTTTGTAAAATGACATCCTGGACAGAATTCTCCACTATACACTTATATCCTATATATTGTTGTTTGCAGAGGTATATATCTCATATACAACCTTATAAAAAATTCTTACATGTCTGTTCTTCATCACTAAAGCCCATAATTTTCATGGCTTCCAAGGTCTCCTGGAACATCTCATCATCTTGTTGAGCAGGGATAGGCACATAGCCATTAGATAGAAAGGTGTAATTGTTGAAATTTTCCAGCAGCAGGTCATCTAAAGGCAAAAAAGAAAAGCTTAACTTCRTCAATTTAAGTGCATAAACTTAACGCTCTTGGTTAATGAATTCTCCTAGCAGAGAAACACAAYAGAAGAGACTGTGTTTTTGTCCAAGGAAGTCTCTCCTTGTATAAAGATCTTTGGATTTTGTGATTGGAAAACTATTTCAGACTAAYGCTTTATTTAGCAAATTAGATTGTCCCAAGTTTCCACTTTTCAGTAGCGAGTAGGGAGTGTCTCTCCTCCTCAGCAGAACTTAGCACCCCAAGCCCTTAAATCTGAGCCTTCTTTCTGTAAGTCTTTCATTTAGTTCCATATATAACCTAGTCAGAATTGCACATCTACCTGGTCTTCTTTACCTGGGGACTCRGATAACAAGAAGAAAACTTACTTTTCATTTGTTCAGAAGCTCCAGCAATCAAATAGTAAAAGATATGAAATGTTCGCTCATCTTTAGCCTGACGAATAGCACGGGATTTTTCAAGCAAATCTGTTTGTCAAATATGTTAAAAAAAATCAGTAACACATTTCAGTCCTTCCTTAATTACGCCATCAGCCTCAGAACCATCACTAGCATTGGTCAAATATTTGCCAAAAACTTGGGTAACGTGAATGTGGATCTAATTCTGCAATCATTTTCTACTACACAAAGTGCTTATTGTTGATGTAATTTTTGCCAGCTGCGACCGGAGTGCAACCAATACTAATTGGTTTGATTCTCACTTCGATGAATAATTTCCTACCACTTACTGTAAACAAATACTGGTAATCATGGTTGTAAGCACTACAACAGATGTGTTTCCAGAATTAGATATATAGAAATAATATTTACAATATCATTCCTACTACCTTTTAAGATAAAGTATCAMTTTCATCTTTTCAGTATAAGATGGGGCTGCCAGATATAGAGCTTTTTAAGGCCAGAACTATAAGTATAAAAGCAATAAAAAGTAAGTATTTCAGCACTGATCAGTGGTTCTCTCTTTAAATGCTAGTGTTTGTCCCCTTGCTTAATCCTGTAATAGAGGTATCAGTAGAAAAAGTAAAACTTTAGTTAAGAGCAAAAAGAATTAAAAAATTTATTTCTTAAGATCACTCATCAGAATAAAAATATTGATTCTACGTCCAATAGATAAATTCTGTCTTTATAGCTGAATCTTTCTTTTTCCTCATTTATTGCAGTGAGCAGTTCCCTCTCTGTGCAAAGATAAGCAGTACAGAAACTGAGGAATCTGGCTACATATTAAAACACACTATTTCATAAACATAACCAAAGAAAGACTCAGCAATGCTTGGCRAACAAACTCAAGCTAAGCTGAATTTTTCTGTAATGTTTATACTTTGTATGGATGGGCCTCCTACAGACATGAACTAGAAACTTCTCATACTAGATGTCACCTAGACATCTCTTTTGACAAGTTATTCTCCATGCCATTGTGGAACTGCCACTGTCTGTACATACGTGACCTTTGCAGGCATATGTATATTCTAGGAGGCCTGTGAATGCTCAGCCTGGAYGGTCCAGGGTCTTGGGGCTTCTTGTCATACAGAAGCCAGTGTGCAYAGGGCTCAGAGTGAGACCTTTTTGCTTCCACAGGCTTCTTCCCAACCCACTGGCAGGACTGGAAACCCGGAAAGCACTTTCCAAGTTACTAACTAAAATATAGTGACAATAACATGCCTTTTTTTTTCTAAACTGTCAATCACAGCACCTCTGAGAACGATGAGGTTTCCAACTATTTATACGAGTGGCAAATTAGATCACAGGGCAATGGAGCGACCCATGCTGGATCACACTGAAGCAGAACAAGTGACTGAAGACCATGTGCAATCTTAACCACAGGTATGTTGTTTCCATTTTCTCAAGTTCCATATGGGGCAYAGCAAACTCCTATGGCTGAGAAAACAGATATGATATGAAAATGTAAACCTGAGAATAAAGCAGCTGAGAAGCTGGTATCAGTGTAAATGGAGCCACTTCCCTCCATCTTTGTTTATACCAGTCTTAGCAATATTTGCCTTTCTTAGACATGCAGCAGGGCTTGTTTATGCTACTTCCTTCTACACATTCTAGTTAGCTTCCAGTGCAGCTCATAGAAAAGGATACAAGTCTCTATGTTCGCTCCGACAATGTAGCCCGTTACATCGAAGTTGATGCGGATGAATTTACCCTGTGAATGAAAAGAAGACCTAGATTGAGCTATTCTTTCACTCTTTTATTCTGGATTTTACAGCATTAGTGTTTAGCCTGTTTAGTGAGATATATAGGTCATCATTTTAAGATGAASAGAGTTGGATTTGCCTGACTCTCTCTCCTGAGTTTCTTCTGTAYGGATCCCTGAATTCTGTAGGAGAACAGCAGAGCAGGGAGAGCAAGGCCTGCATGGGCAGGAAGCTTCTACCCCTATTTCCAACAAAAAAAGTCATCAAATACTGACAGCCTCTGCTCATATTAATCCAACTTGATTCTTCCTGACTGCTTTCTCATTTTCTCTTATGTAGTTAATCATTTCATATATTAGCACTCTTAATAAGTAACCATCATACCTAACRGCAAGATGTATATTAAACATCTGTGCAAAAAAAAAAAATTATTTGTAAATAGGGGGATATGGAGTTGGGTGTGGAGTAGAAGTTGACTCTGGAAGACCACACATAGGGCTGCTAATTTGTAAGAGGACAATGGTATTGTCAAATTTGAGCTTTATTTTTAATTTCTTGAAGGGACAGTATTTTTATTTCTGTATTCTATACACTGTTTTAAAGAGATTTGTTTGAAGCAGCTCTTTAGAGAGCAGCAGGATGACAGAGCATGATAATGAGGGCCACAATCTGTACACTCTGTTTTAAAAGATGCTGTATGTCCCCCTACACAGACCCAGCTGATATTTTCCTACTTACGAATCTGGAGGAGTTGTCATTCTTCACAGTTTTGGCATTTCCAAAAGCTTCAAGAATAGGGTTTGCCTGTAGAAGCTGTTTTTCCAGCTCGCCCTAAAATTCATTCAGATGCAGTTATCCATTTACTCCATATTTACTTAATTAAAAGCAGCACATGTCCATTGGAGGAGAAATAATTTAAGATAATTTAAGCCTCTCAACTTTTTTTGCTGAATACTGCACTTTATGTAGATTTGTTTTCATTCTCTGTTAATCTTTGTGTTTATATATTGTGCAGTTGACTTCTATCCTGTATACACGACCCTTTTCCAGCTCTGTTGCCTGTGACAGATCAAAGTGTATTCATCTGTTTATCATAATCACTGGCCTTTTTAAATAAAAGGGTCATTCACTGTCATATATCTTTTTTCAGTTTATTATTATTTTTTAAGAAGGGACGTTCTTAAAGGAACCTCTTGCAAGTCTTTTTCAAGTTAGTGTACTGAGATCCTTTGCTAGCAAATGATGATGTAATTAGAATAACTTGCCAAGAATCATTTTAATGTAATGCAGCACAAAGCTACAAAGCAGATTTACCAAGTCTATTAATAATGATCCATGCGAGACTATTTAGGTTAAATATGGAAAGGCATTAATTTATTTCAAACTAGGATAATGCATTCTCATGCAAACACACAAACTTCGTATTATATTGTTAATTCTGATTGGTAATTGGTAATGAAACAAATCATGCAAAGAAACAAGCATGCATTTAATACTCCTATTTCTAAACAAACCAATGAAGTTGAAAAAATACTTTATGAAAACAKTTTTTTTCAACTTCTTATTTAGCTCTGTGCTATGAAGTCATTCAGCTTTCCCATTAGTTTCTTGTTGTCCTATTCTGCATCCTATCCTACTCTGCAGCAATGATATGAATCATTTCAAACACTTCATGCTGAATAATAGYAGGAAACTTCCACGATAGATAATATATCATTTAAATACTTTTGAGGGAATATTTCGGTTGAATCCAGGGGAAATAATTTGAAAAATGAGTTTTWCACAATCATTGTGGAAAACTGGTAACCTTTCTCTATATCCAATTGTTGAATGTTTTGTAACTTGTGTGGCAGTGGTGACACTTTCCTCAAAAATATAGCTAAAAGGCAACACACTGTTAATAGATGGCTAAATTTGGTAATGGCAGTGAGAGGAGGAGAGGATTTCCTAGAGCATAGATCAGTTGGGAGCTAAGGGCTAAAGTAAAATTGCACTGAAGAAAAAAACAATAACAACAAAAAATCTATCTGCTGAGCTGGAAAAAGAGGGGAAGGAATTTTSAACAAGCTGAAACGGTCATCTTCCAGGAAGGAATGAGTTCCTGAAGGTTGCTTGAGCTTCTCCATACTGGGSAAATGGACAGTCAGTAAATTTAAAACTTGCACTGTGAGCATAGGTTGTTGCTGAAATCAGATGGTGACAGCTRAACAACCTTGTCCACTGGAACTGGACAGACACACATTCACTCCTAGTGAGAATAGATGCTGTAACTGTGGGAGTGTAAAACTGGGGATCTAAGATAACAGCATTATATGTAGCTGTAACTCCTGTAGCTGTAACTAAATCTATATATTTAAACTTGTCAAATGAACTGAGAGGCAATATAGCAGGTATTATGATTGGATTGCCTTATGTCATCACCAAAGGCTGAATGGCAGCAGTCAGAATAGGGGAGCAAAAAAAAAAAAAAAAAAAAGGCCCAGTAAAAAGAAAAATCCCCTTTGTTTGGGCCTGGCATACAAACCAAAAAGAATGTGCCAGGAAAGCTGCCTCCCTTCCCAGCCCTGGGGTGCTCGTACTGTGCATCCTGCTACTGAGTGCCTTCCAAGTCCTGTAAGGATCTGCCGTACTACACTTGCAGACACACGCTGCAATGGTAGTTGCTCTGTTACATATCATAGCAGCAAGCTAGGAGCATGCTACCTTTTGCAGATGTGAAGAATTCTCAACAGTTGCATGAAAATGTAAACTTGAAAGCAGTATCAAATGGAAAGCATGCAGGCAAAGTAACAAACTGATCACACACCGTGAGGTTTAGGATTATTTCACAACAGTCCTAAAAAGTTCAACCTGAAGTACAGAAAGCATTGGAGTATTTCCTTTTGGAGATCGCATTGCTTAATTTCAGGCTGATCAGCTGTTTCAGGATCGTGGGAAAATTCATTCAAACTAAGGCAATTTGAACACACGCATATAGAACAGAGTGATATTTGAAAGATAACCCCTGCCTGTGTCAGACCTCATTCTTTGTCCTGGAGCCTGACACAGTTAGGGTTGATTGGTGAGAGCATTTGGTGCTATTGTTGCTTTTCATATCATACAACATGTTTCAACAAAGTCTCTCTTGAATTTTTGGGGTGCAACAATAGCATGCAGATCTACACTCAGTGCCTTAAACACACACCAAACAGTCTAAGTTACTCACGTAAGCAAAAGATGGACCTTGCTGTATTGAATAATGTGGTATAAAACAAGTGTCAGTATCATTTCCATTACACAGACATTTTTATTGCTTTTCCTGTATTAAAATAACCAATATGCAGTTTCCATGCAAATAATCCAGGAATACAGATAAATAGAAAACACATTGCAGACATACCAAGAGTACAAATACAGTTAACATACATACAGCATTTTAACTGAAGAAAAAAAAAGCTGAACCAAAAGGATGGGGTTTGGATCAAGTCCCAAGTTAATCTCCCAGGACCAGAGAAGGAGAAAAATTTTTAATAGTAAATCCCATATTTCTTTGTTATTGCAACTGAATCATTTTGTTATCACTTTTTTTAATGACTGTACTTGCAGTGCCAGTTGTCCCAAACACTGAAGTACTGTTAGACAGCATGTTACAGAACAACTTAGACTTCCTCTTAGCCTTCATCTGCTGGATATTTGCCTACAGGTCTGTCTCAGTTTGATCCTGAGTTTCATGAACTTCCACGAAAACAGGAATCAGCAGCAATTCCAGTTACTTGCCCATTAGAATGTTGAATGTTAATGTGAAAAAAAATACATATTTCTACTGGGTCCTGCTCAGTGACAGAGGAATGAACTTGTGGTTTCAAGGTCATTTCTAATGGGCAAGTTTTTTCACATTAACATTCAACACAGGAAAACTATACCTTAGTTGTGGTTAGTTTCCATCAAACCTAATCACAGATTTCTAGAAAGTACTGCGCAAAGAGCTATCTGCTCCCTGCTCTGCCCCAAGGATGAACCTGCCTTCCCTAACCTGTCGTGACTCTTGGAAGGGGCTCCTCTGCACACCCTGTCCTCTGCAGTCTCTGCAGAGACACCCTGTCTCTTGCTGCAGTCCAGGAGAGGCCGAGCAGGGAGTTGCAAGATCCAGGGCAGGGCTGCTCATGGTGTGCTTGCCTGCTACAGCAACACTGCTATTCCAGTATGAATTATGGTTACAGCTCCTTCTCACCTTGGATCTTTGTCCTTGTCTTTGGGTTTTAATTTAAGCTAAATTTTTAAATGATGATCCAAAGAAAACTCACTTTGGACCKAGGCCTGCATTCAGAACACACTAAAATCTCTTCCTAGATTAGGTCTATCAATTCTTGCCTCTTTTTACAGAAGATCTTGAGTAAAATACAAAAGACTTTAAATGACTTGGGAACTGGAGTTGCATCTTTGAAAAGAAGGACACATAGAAGCGCCAGTCACAGGAGTCATCATGGAACTGGTAGGTAGAAGTTCACAGTATGCTTCATGACAAGACAAGGCACTTCAGTCACTAAAACAGGATTACTGCAAGTTTTAAGGCAATGAACTATTTGTAAAGAATTGTATCTTTCAAAATTGTTCTTTGTCAGAGGAGTAAAGACAAACCAAAAAACTTTGTTTTATATTTATAAGGTTTTATATTAAGACTCTTTGCTATATAGTAAGAAAATATGCCTACTAATGAAGCCACTCAAAACTTTGGACTTTAAAATGTTGGCACACATTTCTGTGATGCAACCGGACAATGTGCTAATTAAAGGTTTTCTCAGATATCTTAATTCGCATGGGGAAAATAAGGACCCCAAACCTTGCAGACCCCCCAAGGCTTCATTATTAGGCAGTAAATAGATACTAACCATATGGAAAGCTATGAATAATTCTCTTCTGGCAAAGTACATTCTGATTTGGTGAATAAAGGGATGTCAGACATTTCTTTTTTTTTCCATAAACATAAAGCTGTGGCATAAATTGTGTACTCTTAATATGTCGACTATTTGGCAAGCCACAAATGTTGACTTGCTGTTAGCACAGTCAGCTCAGTACAGCCCTAACAAGCCTGAAAGAAAACTGAATACAGAGGAGCTCACTTACTGTGACGCTGGTGTCCTTTTTGCCCTTATGTGATGAAGCAACGAAAGCCAGATACTGAATGACCTTTTTGGTATTTTCTGTCTTGCCAGCACCAGATTCACCTCTGAGGGGAGCAGAAATAACATAAAAGAAGGTATGTAACTAGTGAAGCCCTTCTACCATGTGAAACATATATATTACAAAAGCAAGCTTGGAAAAGGCTCGACTCGGTGTCTGCCCCAGAACACCATCTCTCCAATTCCACCTAACTTTAGCATCCAAGAAACGCAGTATGAGAGCTGGTGATCTGTCCTTTTAGTGTTTTGACTGCACATTGGGCCATTTAAGGCAATTCTAAAACATGGTGCATTTTTAAATAGCAGTTCATCTTGCTTTGGCAGCATCTAAATGTTTATGAGAAGTGGGTCTGGCAGGGAATCTGCTCGTATTTTAAGACCAAAAAACATAACTGCCTGAGCAGGTATTGGTACCCACCAGGCTGTTTGGGACATTTAACACGGGCAGGTTTCCAACCAGTGAGGCAGCATCCCAGCTGGCATGTCTCTGTGCAGTGTCTCTTGAGAAGGAAGAAGGAAGTGTTAACCTTCCACCTCACAGAAGACTTCAAGGGTAAGTTTATTTACAACTATTAAGTCTTTTCTTAAAGCAAAATTTTCAAARTACAGGTACAAAGGTCAGATTTGTGTGGTTATTTCTCAGAAGTAAAGACATTTCTAGCCCACCTCTGTCCTCTCTAGGTGTCACATTACATTGTCACACTTCTTTTAGGTTCCTTTGGCTCAGATGAATATTTAGGCTAAAGTATTTTTATATTGCTCTTGCTCAGCAATGAAAAAGGATATTTAAGTGGGTGTGGATATAATTTAAACTCAGGCTAATTCTTTTGACTCTTATCAAACTAGTGCTGTAAGGAGGGCAATTGTCTAAATATGTCAGACCTCACTGGTTTTGTATTTAAATTAAAATGTATTTAAAAATAAAAAGAACAATACATTCAAAAGTCCCATGGATATTTGTCAACTCTTTGGAAGCGGAAGCTATTCAGTTGGACCCACTGCAATTCTGCTTCTTTTCCTAATTACGAAATATAGGAGTTAATTTTTCTTACCAAGGGACCAGTGATAAATGGGCTTAAAAACATGAGTAAGTGCTGTGCAGAACTTTTAAGGCAGGATGACATCGATGTAAACCTTAGGAAGCCAGAAACTATTCTTGCCTGAAGTACACAGTGATCAGAAGTGTTTCTTCTGGCTTGTAGAGTTTTTACAAGAAATAATGAGATGAGTATGTTCCTTTTCTAAAGACCTAGGTTACTTTGCACAGTTTAGAGGCTGAATTCATCCATGCCTGGTCTTCAATGCTGAAACATTTCCATGTTTTATTGATAAAAATTAAGTGTCCTGGGAGCAATTCCAAACCAAGCACACCAATTTGAAGACCTTTACAGAGTTTTCAAATAAATCTACCTTACAACTTTGCTGCTTTTGCAAAATATAAAAACTTTCTTCAAACAAACTCTAGGCTTTGAACTATTCAATTTTATCAAAGGTTATTTGTAGTTCATCACTACATGAATTGCATTTCCTTTCTCCCAGGGCAACAGTGCCCATCACTTGGCTTTCCCCTGATTCCTTGTRAGTATTACCATATAAGGCATCATTTTGCTTGTAATTATCCTACCATACAGTAATGCTTGTTACTTAACATTTGGTTCTGTGCTTTCTTTCCTTAACTCTTTGCTCCTGTACATGCTGATAATTTTCTCTTTTCTGCTGAACCTCTTTGAAGCTTTAGCTTCATAATCAAGTGGATAAGAAAAAAATCTGTTCTTTAACATGAAATGGAAAACTGACAGACAGGATCTTAACAGCTACAGATGGAAAAAAAGGTCTCCAAGGTCATTAAGTAAGGAAAGATACTGTTCTTAGCTAGTGGATACTTATTTTGTAATGTGTAAACAGCATTTTTAAAAGTCAGTGAGTTTTAAATGCACAGGTGTGATTTACAAGTATCTATTAAGCAACATAAGCAGCCTTGGTAAACTGTATGACAACTACTAGCCTGTGGCATCCGACACTAGCCTTCATCTCAGTCATAAAATACCTGTGACTCCAAGTACCATCATTTCTGGGATAACAGAAACAACTTCCCTTGTGGTCCAGCTCCTAGGTGGTATCCAGAAAAAGCACTCCTCTCTCCTGTCCTATGTGTGTGTGTGTATATATATATATATATATATATATATAAATATATACACACATATATATGTATAGCGCATATATATATATATATATATGTATATGCTTTCTATGCTTAATCTTGGTTTTTTAATTTTTCCAGGTGGATCTTTTTCTTGCCAACATCTTTCAGTGATGGAGGCTTTCACAACAGGACTCCTCACAGAAGGTATGTGTTCCTCTTGTTTGAGAACCTATTTGCCTCAGTATGTGTCCCCAAATCATCTTTCAAAGTGCGAATTCATCATACTGAGTAACCACTGTCCTAACCTTCCAGGAACAGACCAATCATTTGGCTAGCTGAAGTATCTCATTCTGTCATATACTGAGGCAACACAACTGTTGCCATTGCAGTTCCTTGGACCTGTCTCAGATGCGCAATACAAAGTAAGCAAAGCAAAAGCATTCCCCAGCTCGCAGTTCTCATGATGCAGTTCTCACCAATACTTCCCATGCATCTCCCCCTAAGAAATGCTCTTGTTTTCCCAAAGTAAAGAGCTTCATGGAATTTAGAGGCTATCCCTGTTAGAAACAATCTTTCCTTCATGAGTGGCGTAGTTCAAGTATGTTCCTCCCTTGCTTCTTGCCACGCTTTGTTTAGAAACTCAATATAGGATTTAAAGCACATAAGATCACATATATCTAAAAGAGTTTTTTGACACACCAGCTACTAAATCCTTCATGACTCCCTTGCTTCCACCTTAGCTGAAAAATATCCCAGTTGGAATAGGTTGCCAAATTAGGACAGGGTGAGAGTGACAAGCTGGCCCTGCTGGTGTGGGCTAAGCCAGTGGTGTAGCTAGACTGTCTGCACTTTTATCTGAGCAAAAAAAAAAAAAAAACAGTTCTAGTAAGAGTGATTTTATCTTGAAAACTTGAAAGCTCCTGTATTAAAATTATGATATAAAACTTAAGTTGAATACTTGTGGTTTTCAACTTAATTCCGCTTTTGGAAAGTCTGAAAAATAACAGTAACATTTATTTTCAGCACTCATTTCAGTAAGCAATGAACCACAAAAATTGACCATTCACACATCTCTTAATCTCGCTATGCTGGCACTGCAGGAACCCTCTGTGCACAGAGCAGTCAATGAGGTGCTCTAAATCACATTAGGGCTTTGGCAGCTCCGTTCTGCAATATGAGATGTGCAGAGATAATGGAAATCTTTGCCCCAGTCCAGCTSTGTCCCCTGAGAGACACAGCTCAAAACCCCGGCCCACTGATCCTACTTGTTTGCTTAAAGAAAGTTCCCAAAAGGGACCAGACTGCTTGGGCACCAGGCTCCACCCCAGGTCTAAAGCTCCTCAAGATATCTGTATGGGAGAAGGGCCAGGCAGCSGAGCTTGCCAGCTCCAGCCTTTGAGATTTAGTTGGCTGGGAAAGGAAAGAGTTTTGCTCTCTTGCAAAGAACTCTTTTAACTAATGGGACTTTGCAATTTARAGGATGTTCTGGATGACTCTGATTCTTGACATATGTCAAGGGATAAAACAGGCTGAGGTTATTTGGCTGTGTGAGGCTCTGGAAAACTTGCCCATTAGGAGAGAGGGGAAGGAGGGAGGAAAGGGCAGGATGGTTGCTGCCTCACCAGAATTTTCTGTGTTGCTGTATCCAATTAAATGGAAATAACACATTGCTATCATATGTTTTGATAGAGTATGTTCAAACGAAATGAATCTATGAATGAGAAAATGTAAAAAAAAAAAAATTTAGAGTACAAATCATATGTTTAATAATCATTTTTTTTCAGGCTTTACATTGTCCCAGTCATTCTGGTTCTGTTTTCTAAACAGTTTTTTTTTTATTCACTGATGGTGACTTTGCTTAACTGAAGCTAATGCTCAGTCTTTTTTAACCAAATGAGCTYTCTGGGAAAGGAAAACAAAACACATATATCCTACCCAGTCTTTTCAGGAAGTGATCGAAATATGACAACCCCAAGATCAGACAGGTATAAGGCCAAATTTTAAAGAACTTGTCTACTTATTTATGCAATTAGGCCCTGCAGAACTTCTATTAAAAAGGTCTTTTGAGAACTCTGTGAGACATCCACCTGTCTTAATGTAGCTTATCTTAGTGGGGTACTTGTGGGGTCAGAAAGTCCCTTCTGAGAACTGCTGCCTTTTCTTATGTTACTTATTATTATGTAAAGTCACAAGCCTGCTGCCTGGACATCGTTTTGTCCAATTCACTCCAAATTGGTGGTGCACTGAGGATGCAGAGTTCACTGAGTAACTTGACGGATTTGCTGGGATTTTTCCTTCAGCCACATCTAATGCACTGGTCAACCCAGGCCCTCAGAACAGTCCTTTCAAGAGTAAGCCCAGAGAGCAGAATATTCCATGGCCAGTTCAAACATCAAAYAGAGGAGACTGCAGTGGGGCTGCCCAAGTACAGGCAGGAATTTCAGGGAATCCTAGCAGCTAGGGAGCAGCCAGTTTAGCTGGCTACATAAGAAAAAAATAATTATTTTCATACTCAATATTATATAGTAGCTACTGGAAATGGAATCTTTAAAGGATTTTAATGAAAAAAAGCATGTTTGCCAAAGAAAGATTTCTTTTCCTAAAAATTCTAATATTCCAATGTTAAAAGAAGATCTGAAGAGTGGAAAAATAAACTGAAATACAGTAATAGAAAGAGGAAATTAATATCATAAATTAKTCTTCATTATCATGACAGATTTCATCCTGTGAAGATAGTGATGGTGAATTTTTATTTCRTCACTGCATCAATTTTAGAATTGTTTTCGGTTTTAGTGCATTTTTGGGCAATGTCATGGAATGGGATCTGGTTAGAACAGAGGTCAGAACTCTCATGGGTTTTGGGTACAGTCTAAAATTTTAGTTTTTCTTAGATGACAAATTTGTTCCTGTCAGCAGGGGCACTCTCAAATAGCTATAATGCTGGTGGTAAGTGGCATTGTTGTTTAAAACTATGATATAAATATATATTCACTCATTTAGTAATCACATTTTGATGGATGACCTCCCAAAACAGTTCACTTCAGGACTGTGTGTATTTATAGTATTTAGCAGACTACAACTTTACCATATGGAGCTGATACAAATGATACATGTGCCACCTTCTGCAAACAAGGGTAACTCATATTTACACAGAATAAAATCCCACCTTTGATCAGGAAAACTGGAAGACACRGTGAACACAAAATGAATTCAAAAGCATCCTCAATGGCATTCAAGTAAATAAAACCGACCAAATGACCAAGTGTGATGGACTTGAGAAACAGTCAAAGGAGGGTGAAATAGAAGCTACCCGTGATATTAAAGTAGTGTATTCTACACAGCAAAGCTCATTGCAGTAAAATCAGGGCCTGATGTTGCATTCAGCTGAATACAACAGCTGAATCGTTCAGTGTGATGATATCTGAGCACTGTCAGGTCAGTGTTCCAAGAGGAGGCCTTCAGCAAGCCAAGACACAGAAAAACAGCTTGCATCCTGCCTGAACATGATGTGCCCAGCGTCCAGAGCTGGAAATGCCAAGCCCGGGCTGTCAGGGAGCCCTGCACAGACCTGAGGAACTGAGCAGCTCACTGGGCACGCGTTACTGAGCCAAAGGGGCCAGGTGGCAAGCCTAGCACAACACTGGCCATCGTACATGCAAACAGCACACAATAACCACACAAACATGAAAGATCACACTCTTCTGTAAGGACAACTGATGTGGGATGTGATGGTGAGGTACCAAAAGCAAAATATGAGAAGTGGTTGAAGAAATGTCCGGGATGCTCTGCTTTCCTTAGAGATTGCTCAGTTTCCACTAGGGAGTATTTAAAATCTCCTTTTCCTTCTACACACAGAGTTTGACAGCCAAGCTCCCTAAACATCCCTTATCATTCTAAATATTCTGAATTCAGAAAGTCACTTTAAAGCAAAAGGCTTGGGCATTAAGGACTCCTAAGGGCCAGCTACCACCTTCATACTTGATGAACGGGTAAATCTTCTAGTGAGAATAGAGCTCAAGCCTGTTGAAGGTCAGGGCCATAGACCCAGTTCCATCAGGGTCTGAGCAACTTCAAATAAGGAAAAACATCATTATGTAGAGATATGCTTAAATAGTTGATTCTACTTACGTGCACAGAATAGACTGGTCTTCTCGATCTGTGAAAAAGGAAAAAAAAATCCATTAATTAGGAAAAATAGGTATGTCCTGACAGAAGCACTTATATTTATAAGGATTTTCATTAAACAAACTATCTAGATTTCTAAATTCTGTCAATTTGTGATTAGTCAAAAGTATTGAGTTCACATCTTAATGTGCTCTAGCATTTAAATAAGCATCTCCAGTGGAAATATTTTGTACCAAAATTGAACAAAAGGTTAAGAGTTCAAGATACTTTTTGAGAATTCTTTTAGAGATAAACTGTAATGAGAACACCAAAAAGATCATACCCTCTGTAAGAAGATTATATTTGAAAATTTAAGCTTGAAAATGAAGTTTTTACTGTGCTTGCAAAGTATGGCCATAGTTTGTTTAAAATGAAGTCTGGATATATATGGTATCACAAGCTACCTGGTCATGCAGGGCTTTAGATTTTCAAAGCAGGGTAATGTAAATACCTGAAAAATGTACCCTGTTTCTTTTCAGATTTAGAGAGGACTTCAGGAGTATCCTCCAAAGAATAAGTCAAAACAAGATACATCACATACTTTGATTAAGAGATGTTAACAAGTATGTAAGTATTCTTTTTTTCTCTAAACAGAACCATCATACACACACTGGATCAAAATTTGTAAAAAGTTGAACCAAAATCTTTCTTAGACAATATCTACTATGAAAGGGATGTGGGAGATTTCAGAGCAGCAGAGTCCAATATGCTGTAATGGGGCAGCAAGGTTCAGGACTGCATCCAAACTCCTTAACCTGTTCTTGCTGTTATCTCTCCTTTCTTGTGCATTTGAGGTCAGGATCTCTTTTACGTCAGAATACAGACAATTTTCTACCACAAGATTGAATCTAAGATCTTTGGGCTGTGGTGCACAATTAGCATGTGCTGAAGTTTTATCATATGCTCAGTAGAACAGGTAATATTTTTCCAGGAAATTAGACTTTCCCATGATAAGACAGCTATAAAATTTAACCTCTGTATAAATGCACCTAACTAGCCTGCTTACAGTAACCACCATCTCTAAGTATAAGAGAAGTTTTACTGTGAGGATGGTAAGATGTGGGAATAGATTGTCCCAAGGAGAATGTATCTCTACCTTTGGAGGTAATCAGAATATACTGGTCATGACCCTGAGCAAATGGGTCTACTGTTGAAGTTTGCCCCGCTTTGAGCTAGGTTGTCAGAAAGAGCCTTGCACAGATTGTAAATGAGCTGCTTGCTTAGGAAAATAAAATCCTAGGCAGGTGAAATACATTTCTGAAATATGTGCATAATTTACAGATCTTAGACTTAAAGCAGTCTGTTAATTAAAGCAGAAACTAAGTTTTTTTTTTAATGTTTCCATATTAGCTATCAGACGTGAGGCTAGTGTTAGAGCTGTTGGGCTCCTGGGCAGAAGTAAGGCATCAACTATTTCCTCATTTTATTCAGTGCGTCGGTGACTTTGCAGAGCTATCCATCTGATTGCCTGCCCCTAAAACTGACCCTGTATTTAATAAATATCATGTAACTGCCTACAGTAAACAAGCTTTCTGCCTTGTGTAAAGATGATGGCGATAAATTCAACCTATTAAGCTTGCCAGTTTTAATTGCTGCTTGGACCGCAGCCAGTCTAGGAAAAGCAGTAGTGGATTCTGCTTTGCCATGGAATTATATTAAACAACTGTGTTTATGCCCAGTTCCTCAACAGCATTCAAGTAAATCCAATAATTAACTGTTTTATTGAACACTCTCACAGTAAATAGCACCACTTAACTGCTCTAGCTGGTAAATTGATGCAAAATGAATCACTGCCTTCCCATTGGAGATATTTATCAGCACTAAGCACAGCAGGATTATCCCACATGAACATTTTGGATGAGAGGAGCTGTAAGCCATGTTTACTTTTCACTGCAGGATATGGAGAGAGACTTTCTTTCAAGTTAAAAAAAAAAAAAAAAAGTGAGAACATGGTAGAATTTTTGCTAAAAATACGTGTTGCGTAAATAGAAACCATGGGCATATATCGATATTACATTACACACCCATAAATACCATAAAGAAAATAAAAGCTATTCCCTGATACAGAGTGGCCTGTGGAATTTCTGCGCTCAGGGGACATTATAAAAAGTAGGTCTCCTCCATGCCAGCTATTTCTTTGCCACTCTTCCTTCCCCATTGCTGTTCTTTTCCTGCCCTGTATTTTCTCTGTTTAGGATCTTCACTATATCTTCCTTTCAGTGGCACCTTGCATGCAGCGCAGTCCTTCCCTTGCCATTGCACTGTCCAGACAGTGCTGACTAGCCTGGGAGCTTTCTCCACTGCCATGGCATCAGTCCCCAGAAATTGTCCACCTGCTTCCCATCCAAGGGAACATGGCAAGACAGTCAGCACAAGACATCTGGCAAGTCTCTTGGGGGTAGACTGGCCCCTGCAGGTGTTTGTATGGGTGCATATGGGCACCTCTGCAGAAAATGTGGGAGAGGGGGGGCCTTTAGGAAGAGGGAACAAACTGTATAAGCCAGTCTTACTCTCTTATGTCCCAACCTGCAAATACCTGTCTCTCTTACTTTTAAGGGCTCTCAACATTGTTTGCTTTTATCTGTGATCCAAAATATTTTATTCTATTTATAAAGGATTATGTCCTATTTAGGGAATTTGCAACTTTATGAAATAGATCAGAAGAGAATGATTGGCACAAATGAAGCTTCTTAAATATAATTCCTATGTTTTACACAGGAAGAAATATGTCTTCTAGGTCACAAATGTCTTTAGTTAAAGCCTTTTTAACGTGACATATCCTGTCCATCCTCTATTTTAGATGGGCCTATCCACCTGTCTATTTTAAACATCCCAGAAACTTTTGCATTCCCCTTTGATTTTTAGCAGTATACAGCCCTAAATTTACATTCTGAAAACCATCCACCTACTTAAACGTGCAAGTGACTTTTGCCTGGAATCTGTTTAGCTTTTTCCTCAGGACCGAGGTATTGCAAACTTCAGTTTCCTTGTAAGAATCATATGCCCTTCTGTTCTCAATAGACCAGCTAGTTCTGCTTAATCACAAACAAAATCAGATGGTTTATCACAATGAAGCAGCAAGTTGGCAGCTTTACCATAAAAGGGAAAAACAGGCTGAAGCCATGTTCCAACACTCGCTTACTGCTTCTTTACATTTGTTAATAACTACACTGCCAAAAGGGGACATTTCTGTACAGTCCTGCTAAGGACACAGTAAACAGATGGCTTTTTGCAGCAGCCTCTTTTTCTTAGATCTTGGGAACTCTGTTTCCCTCCTATACCTCTCAGTGACTACCAGGTTGTTTGTTTTTCCATCTTCAGCTCAAACTTGCCTGTAAAGCACTTGCACAAAGGTATTTTTGGGAAAAAAAAAAACACTTTCTGAATTTGCAGAAAGCTATAATAAATCTTTCCCATGACCTTCTTTTGCCAAAGCACTTAAAAAAAAAAAAAAAAAACACTCTAATCATCCATATGAAAACTTCATTACTACTTCTGCGTAACATTAATTTTCATATTTGTATTGTTTATCAGTCATTTGCTGTTTGCTTTGAGCAGGAAAGATGGCAGAAGGCAGCAGAATTATTCATCCTGCTGGTGTCCTTGCCTGATGACGTCTGGAAGCTGGCAGGACTGCAGCAAGAAGCACCCCCGTCCAGCTCCTCTTCCCTGTCCTGCACTGGCCTCTCCTTCCCACCACTCCAGGTATYTCTGCAGCCACACTGCTCACCAGGATGGGGATCTGATCTGCTTCACACCAATCCAGCAAAAAGGGGTGGTTTTACCCTGCAACAGTTTTGCCTCAAACCTGCATGAAGACTGGCCTGGCAGCACAGTATGCAGAGAGGGAATAGAGCACATTGTGGGGTGYGTGTGCCACCAGGAAACTGTTTCATCAATAACAAGGGAACAAGAGGTAGGTGTGGAAGCATGAGGTGATTTTTTTAATGGTGGTAGTGGTCTCTAAGGCTATGATGGTGCCTGGGCCATAGTCATATTAGATCGGTCATGTGTTTATCAGAAGATTTAACAAGCCATCCAGCAACATGGTTGAGATTTTAAAAAGTGTTTTAAGTGCTCAGAACTGCTTGAAATAAGGGAAATTTTATCTATGCCAAGCCAGYCTCTTGTTAATTTATTGCTCCTGTGAGAATTTAGCTTTTCTGCATATTTGGAAGAAAGTCCAAATGTCTGATTTCTGTTAACTGTGGTTAAGTGTTTTTACCAGAACAACTTTGGTGGGACTCAAATGTCATTGCAGCTGATTACATTAACCAAATAAACTTCTAAAGCAAAGGGGAAATACAATGTACACAGCTGGATTTTTGTGCCAAACAGGGAAGGTGAGAGGGTGGGAGGGCCATGACTCCCAGGTGATGCACCTGCAGTGGGACCTCTCTGGAGATCTGGCAGTTGAGGGACATTCAGGCTCGATTCACCTATGGGTACAAGTTCCCTTGGCATTACAACTAGCTGACTGCTCTTAGTCAAGCAGCTCTGGTCATGCAGTACTCAAATATAATTCTTCAATCTCATGAACCTAAGATGTATTTTACTTTGGCAAGCAGAAACCGTGCAGGTTTATCAGATAAGACAGAATGCCATAATTAAGGAAGATAATGTTCAGTGCTCTGATCCATGTTTTTGAATATGAATTCCTGTTTTTATTCCGTTGGCAAACATTCTTACAAAAAACTGTGAAGGCCTCTGTGTCTATAGATGTTGCCTGCATGCACACACGTTCGTGTTGATGCCCACTTTCACCACTCCTACACAAATACAGTTTGGCTGAACAACTAGAGTTATTTTGAGGTTTGGTTTAGTTTCCTGCACAGAACATGAGTACATTTTTACAAACAAAAGCACAGCTTTAAAAGCAGCTGGGCCCTCTGGAGATGGAGACGCTCCAGGAAGGCATGTGCAAGTCTGTGAGCAAGCAGAGTGTGGGTGTCCTGGGCCCGTGACGCAAGTGCCCGTGGGACCGCTCCAGCCGCCGTGCCAGGAGGCGATGGAGGAGCAGTTTGTTAAAGGTTGATGCTATGCCCTTTTCCCTCCTCCTCTCTTGYCTTTTCCTGCCTACGTGCTGCCCCCTCTGCTCTCCGCAGTTGGGAAATATTCCTTCAAAGAGGGGTAGGGAATCACGAGCTGTGGAGGTTCCCAGAGTGCGAGTGGGGCCAGGAGACGCTGGAGCGCCTGAAGAGCCAAGGGAAGCACGGAAAGCTCCCCGGCTCCTGGCCACCTCCTGCTCACTGTGCCCGGCACAGGCCAACACCGCGGCCCCGCTCAGCTGGGTGCAGCTCACGSCATGGCCAGCGTGGGCTGGCAGGGATGGCAGCGGGTCGGAGTGAAGAGGGCCTGTGCTGAGGGGATCACGCAGGGAACTGAGCCCAATTCTGCATTAAACAGCAGACGCTTCTTTCGCAGCATAGGTTGCAATATGTTTTCTCCTTCCTGCAGGTCCTGTGGCCATTTCCTCTATGTTTTTCCTCCCATCCCATTTTTAGGGATAAACAGCAGTATTTCGGCATTACTGAACAAGGACGTAACCACTGCTCGCTTCTCACAAGCCTTGGAGTTGTCCTTTGAGGCTTACCGCTTAATGAATTTGAATGAGGAAGGACAACTTCTCTCCATAACCTTAGGACCCTAGATCTTGCTTTATACAGAATGTGAGAGATGATCTCGAAGACAGGTGCTTGACTTAGTGGGATCACCTTATGCCAGGAAAGTTTCTGCTGTCCTCTGTCAAAAGTGAGATTTACTGAATCATGTTATTTTAAAAGCTTGCACCTGCCCACTTAGCTCTAAACATATTTTAGATGCATGAGTTTAGGAGTAGCTGCTGTCACAGAGAGGCCTGTTTTCAGTATGTTCTTTAATGGTGCTGTAACTGATTTTCCTCTCTATTGCTTGGTCATTCTGGGATCCACTTAGATAAAAAAAAGATGATATGGCTGCAGACAGAAGAAATGTCACAGAGGCCATAGCATGAAAAAAAGATTGATGCAGTACAGTAAATACCTGGTTCTCAGGATTTTAAGTTAATTATATTTCAAACATTATAATTGTATGTTTAATCAGGACTAGGGGGACTTAACCGTTAGGGCCTGGTCTGGAGACCCTTGCTGAGACATAGACCATAATTTCTGCAGGGTTAGGTCCCTGATGGCCACATTTAAATTTCACCACTAATGCCAAAGTGTTCAGAAGCATCCTAGTTTCTGGAGCATCTGAGGCTCCTTCTGAGACCTGTAATCTGCAGGTGTGCAGCATCTTCTGTTCAGGACTAGGGCTGCCCTGCCCCCAGACAACTGCTTTTTCCTTAGAGCTAAAAGCCCTTCATCTGTCAGCAGTCCCTGCATAAGGAGGAGCACACTGTGAATTCCTACAGCTTTGTTCATACTCTTTTGGACCTGACTGATTTTCTACCGCTAYTTGTTCCCTTTATTGCTAGGAAATAGAGCACATCGCAGTTCAGGACTCTGAAATGTAAGACTGCAACCAAAGTAGCCCCAAACTGCGGCTTGCATTTTCTGTGTTGTGCAGGCAGAGGCAGCGCCGAGGAGCTCAGCAGCATTCGCAGCTAACTTTGGAGCAGTCCTTGCTGGTACAAAGGGAGCATTTTCCATGCCCGTATTTGCCAAAACTATTTGCTTGACTTTGAAACCTTCCCACATGCCTCTACACAGATGGGTAAAAGGATTGTTTTTCCTTTTTCAGTCACAGTGTTTGTGGACTGCCGTTCCTGCCAAAGAATTCCTAGGAAACTTCCCGAAAGCCTGGGTAGCTCTCAGCAAAAGAGCTTTTCTGCCTCTGCTTCTCCTCCTTGCAGGGGCAAGTGTGGAAGTGTCAAGGTATTTTCTACCACATTTCCGTTACTGTGCAGTGATTTCTAAMAACTGGCGTCTTATTAAACATGCCTACCTTGCAGCATGCTCCTGTAGGCCGTGTCTGCGATAGCGTAGATATGGGGTGGCATCTCGTGCCTCTTCTTTCCTTTGTACATGTCAATAATCTTCTCTGAATAAATGGGCAGCTGTTTGTATGGATTTATCACAACACAGAAGAGACCTGAATATGTCTGCAAGGAAATTCAGATAAAAAAAAATGGAATTAGTATCAAGTGTTGTGTCTAGTCTGGAAACTAGACACAGGTCTCAGCTGCATTTAACTGATAGACTTTTAGCAAGTAACACTTTCTTTTGTATTCTCTCCAGTGTAACAAATGCCAGTAGTGACTCTGAATGCACAGGTATAGGTGAAGTTTCCAAGTGCACAAATAATAATTTCTAATAATTGAACTGCTAGAAAATGTAGATACATCATGCTTGGAGCTTGTTGTGCCCAGATCTCTTAACAGCATCTTCAGTTATTTTCACTACATAAAGTGAATCACCCTTATTTGAGATTACTTAAGACCCTTAATACTTTACAGTATTTCTTTGTATATGTATTTTAAGCATACTGGAATACATCCTCTGCCAAATTTTGTAAGCTGAAAACTTAGGTAATGATCTTGGACTGATGTTGGAAGGTCTTTTAAAAATGTGTACCCCACATAACAGTAATGCTTCTCTGAGAGTCCTTGAAAAAAAAAACACAGACGTTACAGGTGGGTGTCTAATCAGAATAGATATATGCCTTCACTACATGACCATCTCTGTTAAAAAAAAAAAAAAAAAAAAAAAAAAGGGAAGAAAAAATGTCTTTCTGCTTGCATTCTAATGCAGGTTTATGCAGGTTTTTATTTACAAATGTACATGTAGGCAAAACAAGGATATCAATTACAAGTTGAGAGTTGCCTATCTGTGTTTTAATTTTAAGAAAGCTCCATTTTTAATAACAGAATAATAGTACATGGCAATAGGTGATGAGCCATGTATCACAGTTACCCAGAGTGAGCAATTTGCAGGAGTTTCCCAGAGAAAAAAAAAAAAAAAGAAAGGAAATAAAGTCTCAAAACAAAAAAAGCCTTATACATTTTTCAGATGGTAATTGCAGGAGTGTTTCAGACAGACTATGGCTGTTGGCTTTAAAACCATGCCAGTTTAAGAAAGCTGAAATAATGTTTTGTTCTCTATGATTTAGCCATACRTCTGGCTGTTCCCCCCATGCTGGCATGTGAGTGTCGTGGTGCGTGGCCGCTCTCCGGGGTGCCCTCGTCTCAGGCCGTGGCTGGGGATGGCTCTCGCTGCGTAGGTCCCGCATGGGGACTGTGACGGGACATGTGGGAGGCTTGGCACAGGGATTTCCCTTTCCTGACCATATTAGGCAATGGTGCAACGCRGTCCCAGCGCAGCCCGAGCACTTTATATGGTATCGGGCAAACRGGGAGAGAGCATCTGTCAGCGAACAGCCCCCGGGGGCAGGTTGGGTGCTCTGCGCCRGGCAGGATTGCCTCTTGGGTCCTCTTGGTGTTAGTGACTGCCCCCTTTACCTTTGCAGGTTGTTACTGCTGTTGTATGATCTCAAGTGAGACTATCAGAAAAATCAAGCTGAGGATCTTCACCAGTTCGCAATAGCCTAAGCTAAAACCTTTTATGTGGAAGGTAAATCATTATCAAACTAGAATTTCACTTGTATTCAATTTCAGTTGTAATTCAGGATGACACCCTGTGTTAATCATGATGAAATGAACTTCAGTTTTGCAGGGACTGCAAAAGGTGAGACTTTTTATATTGGAATGACCCTTGGGGCTCTTATAGAAAGGAGAGCAGCGTATTTTTTTTCAGTACAAATACATTTACTGTATACATTCAGCTAATAATTCCTAACCAAGTAAGAAAAAAAAATTCCAATTCAGGAAATTATATAAGCCTCCCTTCCCAGGGATTTGTAGGTATGTGCYTGACTTTCATCATGCAGAGAATCCAGAGGCCTCAGCAGGGCTGTTTGTGTGCTTAGCCATGTGTTAATGTACCTAAGTGCAAGTTTAGGTTATTAAGGAAGGGAAAAAACTTGACTTGATGACATTCAGGAATCCCCAATTCTAACTGGATTGTGACAAGCACCTTAGGTCAGCTCTAGAAAATTAACCAAGTCCTCTTATTTAGAATTACAAACCATCAAACTATCTGCTTGACCAATACTAATTAAAAACTGATTTATATATGTAACACTTTGAAGACAAGTGAGCCAGTTGGCTAAGCAAGAGATTAAAAACAGGGAAGCTGTTTTCTCTGTGCTTTCATATGATCCCCCTGGGGAYAGAGTTTTTCTAGAGAGCTGGATCCAGTATCTCTTCCCAGAGGATCTGGAGACAGCTTGTGCAGGCCAGTTCATTAAGCTTGTCCTTTGGACAGTCATTGCTGGTGGGCATTTAAGAGATACACACATCTGTGCTGTAAATGCCCAAATTTGTGCAGAGAAGTCCTGTCTCTGGTTCCACTATCCATATATAGTTTCTCATATATAAGAAAGCATTTTGCAAAGTGGGGCAAAGATTGTATAAATACTGCCTGTAAATACAAGCAACTTGAATCTGCCCTCAGATCAGCTGAAGTTACGTTTATATCATCATTTTTGGTGTAATTGTTGACCAAGCACATTCTGTGCAATGCAAAATATAAGTTAGTGGCAGGACAGTTTTTGTCCATCTTTCTTAATTATCTTTAGTGAAGGGAGGAGGCCAGAGAGTTCTTCCAGTGTACAGTCACTCTCTGACTTTCGGTTCACATTCTGCACTAAATGCTTTTATTTAATAGTATTTGCTTGAAATTTGTAGATCAGATGATTTTTTTTTTTCAGGAAAGCTCCCTTTTTTTTCCTATGGGAGAATTCGCAATCCCCAGTTGTAATATTCTAAAGGAAAAATATTAAAAAATAAAGGCTACAATTTCTTTGTGTGTGTGGGACTCCAAGGAAGTCTTCCAAGGAAGTTAATCCATTCAAAGCCAAAACTTCTGTTTAGGTGCCTCCTATTTTTATTTCAACAGGTATGAGAGTTTCTAGCAATGTAGTACTGTATATTGCTGAGCAGTTCTAAGCAGTTTTTAGATGTTTGAAAATAGTAATAGATTGTTGTAATATGACAGAATATTTTAGTAATAACTACGACCGCCTTAAAATCTAGCCTTCTGAGTAGGAAAGTAGAATTATCAGATACCCTTGACTTTTTTTTTTTTTTTCCTCTAGGACAAATTCTTTACCTTATAATTGCAYTAGCTGCTTTTAGAAAGTAACTTTCTACAGAAAGAGAAATTAAAGTCCCGCAAGAATCCACAGAGTAAACATATGTTAGAAACAAGAATATCTCACAGAGTGTTGCTGAGAACAAAAAACTTGAAAAATTTCGTTTCTTCCARGAATCTTAATGATGTTAATTTTAATGCATTCTTGAAGGAAAGATCCTGAGCTTTAGCTCTTTTAAACTATGCATAATAACTAACAGATTACTATATACAGCTATACTGTGTTATAATATATCTAACTTGCATCTTATTTTCTGCTTCATTTCCTACCCACCCAATTTAGCATTCCTCATACTAACAATAAGAGCTCAGTTTGACTTCTAAAACCATGTTACTTAAGCTCTATGTTTTATTTCACTCATCAGTGGTCTGTGATAGAAAGAAAATTTTCATAGATTGAAATTGTAGGTTACTTGTCTACAGCATAGCATAGGGAACGTGTTTGTAAAATCAAAGATAGTGGCTAAGTTCCGTGGTAATTTTCGGTCTTTCTTACTATTTGATAACTGCTGATGAAGATAGATTTAAAATATGCATGTGTTAATACACTTGTGTGAATTGGAAGACAGAAAAATCTTGATCCAGATTCATATGAACATAGAGGAGATTCCAATTTGCCCAGACTTGCCAATCAGTAAATTGTCTAACAAGGGAAAGAAAACTGTGTTTTATTGGATGCATAAGCTTGGTCCAGTAACACTCAGGAATAGTCTTATTTCAATTTCAGTGAGATTATTCATATATTCAGGCCTGCACCAAACCAGAACTGTCAGCTGCCTTTCAGTGGGTGTTTGGCCTGAGAAAAGGCTGCATGATTTGGCTTTTCCATATGTTGTTTTTATACAACATATGGAACATATGTTGTGTAACATGTGCGGTACATGATCTGAGAAATTGTTCAAGTTTCCATTAGAAATCACTGGGAAGCCCTAATTTTAAAAGATACAGGATTGTACTCCTGTGTAGCTATCAGAGGGAACTTCAAAGGCAGTAATATTCTTTCTTTATTTAGTTTTGGGGAAGTTTAACTTAATTACAGCGGTTAAATAAAGATTCAAAAGAATCTTGGGGAATAAAATGAACTAAATTTTTTGGGTTGGGATCCCATTGCTGAGGAATGAGGACTTGCATGGCAATATGAGGACTATGTTTCTGGCTGTGGCCGGGAYGTCTCTCACTAATAACTGCACTTGATAGCAAGCAATGGGAAATGCTGTGTAAGTGTTAGTTCTACTTACATAAATTAAACCTGAGAAGTATCTCTCCCGCAGATTGTGCAGCACTGAAGCTTCATTGAGGCAAGTCAGCTCCGCCATGTCCTCCACCTTAGAGAACTTGGGAGGGTTCATCTTCTGGATGTCATCCTTGCTCAGTGTCACTTTCTTTCCATTTTCTGCCAGTTCAACTGTCACCTCATCCCCTTTCTCTTCCTTGATACTTGCAGCTTCAAATCCATGTTTCTCRGATGGAACCCAAACCAGTTTCTTTGCTGACCAGTCAGCCTGGGCGAGTGGGTTGTTAATGAAGTTTTTGTCCACAAAGAGGAATTTCTCATCATCGCTGAGAGGTTTTTGAGCCATTTTGACTCAGCAGTCACCTGTTGAAGAAAAAAAATATTCTGGTTTAAAGAGAGAAAAATGTGGAGAAATTCCAGCCAAAACACTTTTGTCAGATCTGCTCTTTGCAGTAGTTTCAAAGTGTGGCTGTTACTGTCGGGGACATATAACTTCAGTTATACGTCCARGGCTGCCCTTCTCTGCGTTCATCTGTAAAGGCAGAGCAAGTCATGGCCCTGGGACACTTAAATTCCTTACTTAGGGACAGCTGCAAAATGTGCGGGTGAGAGGTGAAGATTAGCCTTGTAGCCAGAGTTTAGCAGTAGAAATGTTTGTTAATGCCCTTAGACTCCCTGGCAATGCTACCAATGCTGAAATGACGTAAATCAAAAGCATCGTGTCAGTAAAACAAGCGAGAGTTCCTGAGCTGATTACCTATACTTGTTGGTGTTGTGCTACACGTCAGGCAGAAGAGGAAGGCAAAATTGATACTAGCGCATCTAGACTGTCAGGACCAAGACTACCAGCCAACTAACTTCCTGCATCCTCATCTCTTGCCCATCACAGAGTTAACTGAACTTGTATACACACAGAATTTCCCATCATCCAAATAACTTTGGGCGCAGACTAAAATAACAGACTAATAATGAAATAATTAGTAGAAGAGCAGTTCCCAGGCTGTGTTCTGGAAAGGACAGAAACAAACTTTACTTCTTGAGGACTATTTCTAATTAATGACATTTCATGTGGAGATCAATAAGATTAAGAAAAGGTTAAAAAAGAGACTTAGAAAAAGCATTGTTATCAGTATTGCTGGTGAAGGAGAACAAATTTAGTGTTGTCTTCTTTCCATGGCTCAGAATGTKAGAGTTTATCATCTAGGAAAGGTAAACGTGCACCATATGAGAGAAAGRGAGGAAAAATAAAATGACCCTGGAAATTAGACTAGCTGTTAGATACCATGTACCATGATCTCCATGAGTCTGGGAAAGGGTGGTGCTGGTCCCCCTGCTGCAGTGCAGAGCACAGGGAAGAGCGTGTGGCTGAGAAAAACATCACTGGGTTGCTTTCCTTACTGAGAATGGATTTAGTATTTACAGCATTTGAACAAGCATGAATCTTGAGGGAGTTCAGAGAACTGACTGCTAAAGAAGTCAGCAATCAAACCCTGTAAGATGAATAATATTTATATATAAAGACTGGGCTCTGTGGTACTTAGCCAAATAGACACCCTGTTTTCTTCCAAAAGGTGTTTTTTTTTTTTTTTTTTTTTTTCCCAAAAATCATCCCACAAACTGTTTTGTTTTGTTCTGTTTTGTTGCACAGCTAATCTGTGTGAGGGGTCTGAGAGAGCAGCATGGATCATATGCAAGGTAACCGCAAGCTTAAAAAAACAAAACTAGGATTTTAGAGGTGCCTGAGGGCACCTCATGATATCCTGTTTAAATTCAGTGGAAACGAGATGTCCCAGCTCCTTAAATTCCCTTGACAATTTTGCCATCTAAACATCTCCAGTTTTCCTCTAAACGTCTTCATTCTAAAGCCATCGTCCTTGTCTGTAAAGCTCCAGCAGGAAAACTGACCCAGGGCGTGTGTGTGCCCCTGTGTCCATCGTGCTGTGGGTGACGGGGAGGGAGATGGGGACCGGTGGCTTCCACGCACTGCTGTGCCCCGTGCTGTGTCCGTGGCCAGCGAGTCTCCACAAGCGAGCTCTGCTGGATGCGGTCCTTCACTAGGTCCCTGGGGAATCTTGGAAGAGAGCTGTGAGAGGAAACTATTTGACCTCTGTGTGGATTAAGGCAGAAAATGTTCCTGTTTGCCAAGAGGGCTGGTGGAGCTGCACAGCTCCAATAATGGAGATGGTATTCTCTCCGGCCGTGTTTTCCAACTGGAGCCCGAAGGATGAATCCAGCCTGACTCTGTGTGGCTCAGCAGGATAGGGAACACAGGGAGCGTTTCCCCACTGCCTGTCCTGCCACAGGGAAAGCAGAACATGCGGTGACAGTGGCAAGAGGAGCAAGGGAAGCCCTCGATGCTGCTCGACACCTCATTGCAGAGCCACAGCATTGTGGACACCCCGTTGCCTCCCAGCTTGCGGCCCATGAGTGGCTCTGCTCACCGGCAGTGGTCCTGGGACAAGGAGGTGCTGCCCCTCTCCTCCCGTGGCAGGGACACCAGACAAACTGGTGGACAAGCTTGGAGACAGGAGGGTTTTTCTCCCTTAGATGTAAGCACTGTATTTTTGGCTGTCAAACGTACCTAATGATCTGTGAATACTAGTTTAAACATGGTAAGATTGTACCCTAAAGAAGAAGTAGGAGATAAGCAATCTGAATCGGCTCAACAAACTCCTCTGAAGCATAGACAATGGTTGGAAAACTGTCTAAAAAGAAGCTTTTCAAATGTTCCTGTGAAATTAGAGGCTGAAGTCCGAGTAGCAGCTGTGTAAAACAGCAGTAACAGAAGAAAAGCAGTTTGCATCTGGATTATTTGCATCTGGATAAATTAACCTAGTTACTAGGGGGAATTTTCAAAATGGAAGAGATAGACGGTAGGCTGCAAGAACTCTATTAGTCTTGTTCCAGTGAGTGACATGCTGTGCAGAACTGTTCTTGAGAACCTTTCCTGAGAAGGTAARTCATTCCCTGGGTACCCACTCCCTGGATAAAATTATCCATTTGCTTAAGGAGATGGTAGAATCGTGTAGAAGATTAAATGCCCTTTAACACTCAGAGGTGAGCTATCCAGGGAGAGGGAGGAGAAGCAGTGATAGTAAAACAACTGACATGAAGTTTCCTGGCTTAGAAACATGCTGAATTTCACCAAGATCTGCATACCTGTGTTATTCCCATCTAAACCCCAAAGGAGCATGTAGGCATGGGCCTGTGTGGTCCMTGCACTGCCAGGGGGGCTTCTTTCTGTTCGCCCCTATTTGCTGCCCCGCTGCAGACAGGTCCTGTCGATCTTCGCTCTTCTTTCCCATGTCATGTCAGTGACAGAATTTGAATGCTGTCCTTCCAATCAGTTTATCCTGAGTATATTATTCCAAGTATATAGTATAAATATCTCCAGGAAGTGTACTTAATTAAAAGGTTWTTGGCTAAGCAGAATTGCCTCCTGGGTCATAGCTTAAAGGGTCTGCTTTTCCCCTAAYGAGGAGATAAATGATACTTCTCCCTTCCTCTGCAGGATGTGTGTGTCACTATGAAAGCTTATCACGRCTGCACAGGGAACTCCAAGTCTATGAGTTATTTCCAGAAATGAAGTCCTGCTCATGTAAGTGGTTTCTATTGGAAGGATGTAGCGGTAAACTGCTGTTTAACTCGAACTGTGTTTCTTGGGCTGCATTTGTTCTTCGCTAAGGTCTTCCCAGGTTGCTTATCTGTTACTTTTGCAGTACTTAACAGAATTACCCAACCAAGTATTACTTGAAAATAAACACAAAAGGATSAGTGTTCATCCTGTGTCCTGCACTTGGGAACTTGTTCCCTAGCACGATTGGCTCCATCAGGAGCACTGCTGTTGATCCTTGCTGGCCTTTTACCTTTCCCAGGTGGTCCCTGGGACCACCCTCAAAAGCTTACTCTCATCACAGATATTTCTATCTGGCCATGAAGCTATCACGGGTATTAATTTATTAAAGTTTTCAACACAAGAAGAAAGTCTGTATTAAAAAAGATAATATTCTTAGTAATTTCATAGAGCTGTATTTGATGAATACTCAGGGTGTATTTTCTGCTAGAAAATACAGACAATGCTAGAATACACTAGCATTGCCGGTAAATATCTTTCCCTTCCTGTCAAGTTGTCTAACCTCTGTTAATGAAAGCAAGTTATTACATAATTATGATTAAATATTTGATAGTTCTTTTAATTCTCCATAAAAATTGGCCCAGATTACTATGTTGTAAATCGTAAGGAAGAAAAGAAGAATGGAAAAAAAAAAATGGATTCCATTATCTGGGACAAATTCCCTTTATCTGGGAAACAGCAGATATTTYAAATACTCCAAAATACCATTCTATTAAGTAAAGCAGATTCTGTGAGTTCATTAGAATCCATAAATAATCCCTATTTTAACTGGACTATGCACAAGTTGGAAAGTCGTCCCTTGCTCTTTGCTTCTTCTAAAATTAACATACTTAAAAGCCAACAGATTTGCAACTAATAAGCTTCAGTGGGTTATAAAGAGTCCGGATCCTCTGCATACATCTATGCATGCTACCATATATGGCGATGTTCTTCTCAATACTAGCTGTTCCGCAAAAATGTAATGATAACAAATTCAAAACAAATACCTTTTAGGGACTAGCGTGTCAATTGCAAATGAGATAATAAAAATCATTGTTTACATCTAAGCGAACACAGCCAGAAAAGAGTATCATGCTCTAAGCTCAAGTGACTCTTTAATCGAGCGCTTCACTTTCCAGTGGTTCATCATTTTAGCCTCTGTATTAGTGGCTTAAAAGAGCTGGGAACCTTGAGAGTTCAGAAAGCTGGTCCACGCACAATCTCTTTTTGAAAACTGACCCTTTGGGGGAAATTTTCAGTAAAATAAAAGATTGGATTGTTTTTAAGCAAGTGCGGATTAGAAAGACCTAATTGAGAAATAGATATTAGGTGATATATTATTGATGCACTATCTTATGATTTGTTAGATTTAAAATATCTCATATTGCTTATTCATTATAGTCACACACATACACCTCTCACATGCACTTCTGTGTGGGGGTCAGTGTGTATACAGACCCATACATACATACACGTATAGGTATGTGTGTGTGTCTGTCAAAGAAACCCGTTAACTTCTGGGATAACCCTGAAGCTGCTTTCTCTACTGCCATCTACTGTTTTCTTAATTTAATCACAGTATTTAGAAGTTTGTTGCTTTTCTCTTTAAAATTTAAAAGCTTGTCTTTTACTTTTTAAATTACTYGAATGCAGTTCAGTGAATCATCTAATTAGTTTTGCCTAACCTTATTCCTTGYATAGTAAAACATGTATATCTAATAGCAAGCAATTTTTTCTTAACTTTGAAGCATTTTTGCTGTTTACAGAACAAGTGACCGACAAGCTAATTATTCAGTTATATTTTCGTTAAGCAGCCTATGAAGCGTGTTATTTCCCTTTACTAGCAGTGAAAATGCAGCAGTGTTTGCAGCAGCTCCAGGCCAGGTCCCTGCACCCAAGGGTCCCTTGCTGCAGTTCCCCGCCACCCTCCACAGCCTGGTGTGAGACCTGCCCCGGAGCACCTGTGCACTCTCACCAAGGAACACTGTCCTTAATGCATTTAAAGCAGAATTCAATTAATGTCATGCAAATCAAGGTAAGTCAGCTGAGCGTGTCTGGTAGGTCTGCTGCCACTTCTGAAGTAAATCAGTTCTTCTMTTCATTGATAAACTCTTCTTCAGGTAATGTACTGAATGTGCTCGCAAAATAGCGTAACATCTAGCTTGCCAAATGATCCCATCCTACAGGGCACTGGCTCCCAGCCCCTTTCCCAGCAGGGATCTCCTGGGGCCCCGTGGTACTTACGAGTGTCCAATTAGGGAAGCAGAGAGTGAATTGGAGAGTCGGGAACCTGTGCAGCCAAGAGCCGGGACAGTCCAAGTCCTCRCTGCCTTCGCAGCCTCCCTATATAGAGGAGGAGAAGCTTGTCAGTGGGGAGGGGCCCTGGAAACCACGTCCTGCTGGAAAATCCTCACCGTACCTGGCCTAAACAAGATAGACCTAGCCAAGATGTTGGTGCCCAGAAGGGCCTAACTGCTGCCCCCTCTTCACCAGGCTTCTCCTGGGTGAGCAGGCAGGTACTTTGGGGGCTTTCTCAAGGGGCCCGTGTGTCGCAGGAAGGCACCAAAGAGGTGCCCCTAGCTCACAAGTTCAGAGGTTTTGCTTTTTCCTAGAATGAARTGATTTGGCCAAGGAAATGGATCTTTAACCCCTTGCTGCCTTGGCAGCAGCCTCACCCCTTATGGCCCAAGCCCAGGAGAAGGACAAAAGCCGGACTGTAGTCCAGAGTCACTCGGGAGGCCCTGCGTTTACACGGGCTAAGCTGAGTGCAGGGGCTGCCGAGGAGAGGGGGTTATTCCTGGTGCCAGGATGCGGGGGCGGAGGTTGCACTGGGCTTCCTTGTGTTTATGCAACGTGCAGAGCCCGGGGCTGTCTGAGTCTGGCTTGCCCCTGGGAATAGAGGGTTGTTTCCCAGCTCCCCAGCAGATTCCCCAAAGTTTCTCTTGTGATGTGTTGCTCAGCTCAGTTCCTGAGAGAGGACTGTAAATAGTTTTTCATTTTTAAAGAAATACCTCCCTCTGTCCATAAAAGGAAGAGCAGAACTAATAGAGAGCTAAAGGGGAGCAGTCCCTGGGATGCCATGRAAAGAGCAGGAGACAGCACCGTCTGCTGGGAGAGGGGAAGGGAGGACATGGCGCTTGGAGCCAGACCTGGGAGGCGATGGAGGGATCTGCTCCTCGTCAACCCTCCCTCACACCCCCGAAACCTTCAGGCCCAGCCTCCACTGGTAGCCAACAGCCTCGTGCAGCAAGACCTGTGGATGGAGACATCCCAAAAAGGGAAAGCTAGGATCCTCCAGGAATTCCCATCGATGTGCCAGATACAAAATACCGAAACAACCCCCACTCAGCAACAGGCTAAATATGGTGTATACTGAAAGGATCAGAGCGCAGTCCTGGGTGAAATAATTTCCCTTGACATCAACAATTCTGTCCTCTCTGGAAAATAAGCTCTCCTGGAGAGGGTGCGTGAGAGTCTCATTGGTCTCAACATCCTAAAAATCTACCCCCGAAAGGAGGCTGGGCTGCAAACCTCTGGTGTAACCAGGTTTCAGTGCCAGTGTTTGAGGGTGTGGGGCAGACCCTGGGTCTAGCTCTGCCCAGTGGTGCAAAAATCCGGGCAAATAGCAGGGGAAGAGAACGGGAATCCCTTCCCTGACACATTCCAACATCATCACCTACAGACATGAGCTTTTCGATCATGCCCAGGCCTTAGCTGGAAAAGACCAATCCTCCCAACAGAGCGAGGCTTTCCGCGGGCTGCGCTCGGGAGCGCCGGACGCAGGGTCACATCTGCTGCCGTGCGCGGTGTCCGGCGGCCGTGCGGAGCCCTCCGGCATGAGGAAGGGAGCGGTGGCATATCGAGGTCTTGCACGTGTGATTGTGCTGGAACAGAGCCAGGGGAAAGGATAGCCGAGATGTAAAGCCAAGAAGCTGACCCCTGTTAGCAAAAAGTTCATCACTGAGTGCTTCATCTTGTTTTTTTCAGCCTTTTCTCTGTTGCAAGCCTAGCTTTTAAGTAGGAGTATAGTGAAATGCAAGGGGATCCTCAGGAAAGAATGATCAGATTAGCAGTCATAAAACTTATCCTAAGTAGTTCCTTATAAACCCATACAGCTGTTTCACAAAACCAGACACATTTTAATAGTAGCTTAAAAAGGAGTGGAAATTATTCCTGCTGGTTTGCAAACGACTGCATGTGCACACGCMGGCTTGCTGTCTGGGTAGTATGTTTAACAGAGGCAGTGGTAGAGGGTGATATATGATGTGACTTTAAACTGAACTGGAAAGTTTAAAGAGGATTACTGCTGGGAATGCAACAGTGGCACTCCTGAGCTATGTGGGGTGGGAACTGCAAAGTGCGTGGCATCTAACCTTGATTTAAAAGTTAATATAAGAACATACTAATTATATGGCCTGTTTGGGATTTACTAAATGTTGAGGTGCCTTTTTCATACCAAAGCTGCCTGAGAAGGATGGTAAAAATGGATGGGTAATATTGGGTCCCCAAATCTATCAACCACAAAATAAGCTTAATTAAAAAAACTTCTATTTTTAAAATATTTTTTCTAGAAAAAGAAGATAGTTTTGAGCAGTCTGCACTAAAATGTCTCCTTGCTGAATTTGCAMTGAAAATACTGTACTTGAAAAGAAAGAGCTTTGAGAAGGAAAGCAAGCAACTTCCAGCTCTCTTATCCCCATTCAACCAGAGTGCAATGGAGGAAAAGAAGAAAAACATGTAATGAATTACATTATTAAATAATGTGCTTCATACAGGTAAACAAATTATTTTCAGATTTATTATTTTAAAGTATATGCAACTATATTTCTTCTTTAAGCTGACAAATGTAATGGAAGCTAGCAAATGTAAGTGGTGGGTTGTTGGAAGCCAACAAACATACTTGGCAGATTAACACCTTTGTAAAGATGTACACTTCCAACATGAGGGATAGTCTGCCTCCAAATGAGAAGAAAATTAAGCATGAGAGGAATCTGGCAAGGCAAAACAGTCACAAACTGCTTATCTGCTTAATGCTACACCTTGTGCTTAATGCTGGATGCAGGTCAGAATCCTCAGCCACCTCAGAATTGAATTTTTATTGACCTGATAAACTCAGACTATATGAACATACAAGCTCTAAACCAGTTGGAAACCAACTCCTGATGAAAGAATGTCTTTTAAAGTGTGAACAAATATTTCTGGGTTTCTCTTCCTAAACATAATCACCAAGTGATAATTAGTTGTCCGGAAAAGAGATCAACTGACACCAAGATGCCACTTGATAGAAAGAGTTCTCAGGAAGGAAAGTGTAACCGACTCCCTGGAGCCTTTTGATAAAGCTTAGAAAAATTCTTCTGTGTACATGACAGAAACTAATACCTCTGAAATAACATCGATGCTCTAGATTCTAGAAACAGTTTCCTCTGATTTTAGAGGAGGGCAAAAATTTCTTTTTTAAGACTTTTTTTTTAAGCTTGTGTGTTAGGTTCTTCCAACATGCTTTCCAGATCTGATATCCACACCAAACTGCACTGCCTCCTTGTCACCTTCATTTGCAATACCACACTTGGATAAAGAACAGCCTCTTTTAAGTTAATTCCTGTTCCTAAACTACCTTAGTTTAAACTTTTAAGGAATATTTTTAAGAGCATCCTCATTGTATAGGATTTGCATTTCCTCTTCATACTTTAAAAAAGAAGACAAGCTGACACTCAGAGAATTTGCTACATGTTTGAATTTGAAAGATACTCRTATTTCATTTACTGTCAGGATAAATGCTGGACCATTTGAATGACATTACACAAGTATATTTTCACAGATACATTTAAAAGCTTTCTTGTAAAAATAAATATTATTAAAGCATACTATTTGTTTGTACAATAAATTTTCATGTTCCAAAAACCACTAGATGAACCATTTGAATTAGATGMAACTAATGTTGCCCAGAGAGCAAATAGACCAGCTCCTACCCCCTGTACCAGCACAGAACGTTGCACCGAGAGCTGTCTCCTCTACTGCCCAGCCCAAAGAGAATGGTCCTCAAACTCTCTTCTGTCCAAAATGGTTTTCTACTCTGATTTCAGATATGCACCTCCACTTAAAAATATTCTTCTAACAGCCTCTGCTTTCATGGTGTGCAGACCACGATCATGCTGAGCTGTGTWCTTAAAAAAGGATGAGGACCAAACTGCCTTTTACTTTTCTCTATCAGAAGAAAAGTACTGCTGCATTTCTACCATGAAAGATCTACCCATGTCCTGGGGAGCTCTGTGACAACTGGACAGTTTCTGTATGACCTGTACTGGGAAGACACAAAACAGACATTTAGTTGGGCTTGTCATGCTGCGAGATTTGCATAGCACCGAAAGTTACCACTTCTGTGTTTCCAGCAAAGTCTTTTTCTTTGCCCTTGAAAAGATGATTCAGATTTTGAGCATACCTCTGTTAATTGGACTCTCTTGGTTATAGAGAAAGAGGCATCTAGAATTTAACCTCTGAAAAACACAAAGGTAAAAATTCAGGGTTTTGTTTGCCCAGAAAAATCACAGCTGGAGTCCTTAGAAGTTCATTTTTGCAACTTACCATCGAGGCACTTGGAGCTCACTGCAAAATGAAGATTTGCAGATAATACTTTAAAAGACAAGTTTTCCACTGTATGCTGAGAGAGAGGAATGATAAAGGGAGAAATTGGTCATTATGTGAACGAGTATTTCTGCTAACGTGGCAGGGAAGAACCATAATAAGAGGCAGATCATCCCAGATGATAACTTTAACGTAGAGTTTCAACTAAGTAGTTGGATTTTGATAGTGTTAACATAGCAAACAGCCACGGTATATGCAAGGATTAACGGGCTTACTTAACCCAACAGCCCATTACAATTGATGCAAAGCTACATAAGTCTTATATTTGAATGAGGTAAATCTGTAAATATATCCTTGCTACCCACCCCTGTGGGACCAGTCTTGAAAGAATCAGCAAACGGGGAAGGAGCTGGCAGCAGGGCCAGGCACAAGGAGGGCTTGAACTCGCTGCTCATCCTTGAAGCAGTAAATGCAGCTTTCTCTTATATTATAMCGATAAACATTCTCTGCAGTTTCACATCACAGTCTAGACTACTGAGTGAAATGAAAAACACCTATAAGGCTTAAATAAGTCAAATCACGAGTAAAGCAGAGACTGTACAACACAGGGTACTCTTAATGAAATTCACCACCTGCACATTCTCTTTCATTTTTACGACAGTCTGTGTTATTTTTCATGGACCCCTACAAGCTCTGCTTTTAAAATAAAATGAAAAATATTGCAGCTAAAAAATAGTTATGGGAATCAGTAATCTATTATCAACTTTATTTTTACTTTCCCCTGACTTCGACCTTCATGTTCTTTGGGAAAAAAAGTTCCTCCCCCTCACATACACTTAGCTTTACACCACACAATTTATAGCAATTCCGGATGGAAAAGACTTGCCCTTGTTTGTTTGTTGGCATGAAGATAAAAATAAGTCCTGGTTTCCGGAGAATTAAAAACAACTATTTCTTTAAACCATGTTAATTTTGTTTTCAAATTTATTTTTCCATACTTATCTGAAGGTAGCAGAAGCCACTTTTTAAACAAAAAATATTAAAATATCCATTTGGAACCCTGTCAAAACACCATACATAATAAAACATTTTTATTGCAAAATGCAAGAAAAAAATACTCTAAGACATCATAAAAAGTGCAGGAATTGTATCATGTCTGATATGTTTTTATTTTTATAAAATCAAGTAATGTTAGGTCCAATTCTAGACAGAGGCTTGACTAATCTGACTTCATATACAGTTTTCTTTCAAACAGCAATGGAGGAAGATGTCCTTTGCTAACTTTTTTTCTTMTTATTATTATTGGCAATTAATATGACCCTGTCTTCCTGTCTGGTAGGTTTTACAAGCTGAAGTGGTCCCACTGGATATGATGGAACAACTAATGTAATGAGTAGTTTCTTAAATTAACTCCTGAAGATCTTTATATGAGAAACGCACAGATGAAAGATATCATCTGTTTATACTTGGTAGAACAAGGGGCTCCTCGATGACAGTGCCAGCCATCGTTCCTGGTTCTGGAATTCTGTCTGAAAATGAAGCATAGGCAAATGATTCATGAGTATTTTCATGCATCTCCAGATCCAAAGATATATTTTTTTTTTCTGCTAATTTGGAACCTGGTACAGAAGATTATCATAGGAAACCTGGGCAATATTACAGTTATATTTTGTCCATACAAATCCGTGGAATAACAGATTATTAAATGCATTATTTAAGATTAGATCTAAGACAACTTCAGGCCAGGTACAGTGAAGGAATTAACAGAACCACTAGTTTTCACTCTTTATATCAGGATTCTGTTTTCTTATATAACAGTTTATTGAAACACTCATTCAACAACATAAGCAAGACAATTTCTAATACGAAAAACAAGTTATGTTAAATATAAGACCTAAAAGATGAGTTTATGAATGCACTTCATCATATTAATATGACGCTTCGTTTAAACAGTTAGGTAATTGGTACTTTAAACCCACTGCCTTTAGGTCTCTGCTGACATATTCTTGAAACATATGTAAAAATAATATCAGACTATAGTTATCTTAAGGTTAAAAGCCTTAGAGCTTTACTTTTGTGTTTTTCTTTAGTTCAAGGAGCAACAAGCAATAATACCTGATAACCAAACCTGAGTCTTTTAATTGACTCTACAATTAAATCGCTATGTGAAATTCCTTTGGGGACCTGCACAGAGTCCATTTCAAAACTAAGATACAAAGTCCTACTTAACAAAGAAAAGAACCTTCTGTAATACTTAGTTTAGTATTTGAAAAATGGAGAAGCTTCTGTCAGGAATAAGAATTTTCTAACRGAGACCAGTTAGAGCACTTTTGGTACAGAAGTTGTACTTCTTTGGCACCCTCTTCTGGCAGAAGGGAAACAGCAGAGTATCAATGAATCTAATTATTAAGGAGAGTACTTAGTCCCTCTCTCACACTTTTTAGATTTCTGAAGACTATCGCAGTCCTCAGGTTTTTCATTACAATGCACTGTTGAAAATTACATAAATTTGGGTGTCTGCAATTTTAAAAAATTCTTTCTTTCTAAATAAAATACATTCCCATTTCAGAGGGAAATTACTGCTACTGACACATCTGATGGACAGTCAAGTAGTTTTGAGGATGATACATTTGTATGGCATTTATGTTGTCTTGTTAACAAAACAGTAGAAAAGAGGCAGGCCTAGCAGCTTTCCTAAGTGGTCAATTATTTAAACAAATAGGTAGCTTCAGAAGTCATAGGTAGGTCTTTTATGAACTGAATACAACAGGACATTCCTTAAACGAATAGAGGAGCAACAGGCATGTTTTTGAGGTAAAAACAGTGTTGTACTGAGGAATTTTTCTTCCAAAAAGCCCATGTCATTCAAAACGTTACTTGCATACAGAAGTAATACCATGTCCACCTCCATGTTCATGCAGCTATAAGCAAATGTATTATGCTAAAACACTAATCACAAAATTTCTGCAAAAATTACCACACACACCTTTTTGATTTCTTTCAGTAGTCAGTTTGCCAAGATTCTGCCTTGGATGGTTCAGCAAAGACACTTTTGGAAGAGTAGTTGATGTACTTTCTTCTTTACCACGATGCAAGAAATGAGCTATGATTCCATACAAGAGAGGTCTGCTTAAGAGAGAAAAGTGACATAAGCAGTCTATAAAGTCTATGAAATACTAAGCATTATGCTAAAATAAACAAACAAGTTTTTAGACCTTAGACCTTTAAGACCTGTTTACTCTTAGAACATGTACAAATGTCCTTAGAATAATTAAAATGCATTATACTGAGTGCAATTATACAAGTAACCACAAACCTAAGCTCATCCTGAAGACCAAAGTCATCTCAAAAATCCTGCACCTGGAGACAGGCTCAGCTAAACTGCGCATCCTTTGTAGGCAAAGAACCACAGCCTGCCTAGCATGTGAATACAGGTCCACATTTCCACACATGCAATACAACATATCAGACTTTGAAAYTACTCACCACCAGACATCCCAAACTTGATCCTTCTTTACCACAGGACAGACGGTTTGAGCCTGAACTACAGAGGACATTGTGCACTGTCCTCAGAAACCTGTTTCAGTACCTTATCTCATGGACCATGGCATATCATATTATAAATTCATATCTAATCTCAGAGTGTAATAATTTTTATTGATCTGCAAGAGACTAGTGGTTTTGAGTGCAAGTAAYGGCCCCATGTTTGAGTCTTGCATGTTAGACTAGACGTGCTCTAATCACACTAAGAACTAGGGAGGTAACATTTCAATATGCTTTCTAATGATACTAAAGTGAAATGAATGCTATTGACAGTGGAATGTCATGTGCACAACAGAAAATACTATGTTTTCCCAAAGTGCTGCTTACATTGATCTGCTATTTGCATCTTCAACAATATTCAGCTCTTTGACAAGAAACTCTCTATCCAAGGGCACTTCAGGTTGGCCAGATTCTGAAAAAGAAATTTCCAGAGAATTCTTAAGATTGGTATGAAAAATATCATCAATGTAACCTTTAAAGTCTGAGAATCAGAGTACACACTTTGACACTGAAAATACCCAACTTTATATTGTATTGCTTCAGACTAACAAGATTTGCAATAGCATATTAGGATGTTTAAGTTCACACTAAAAAAAAAACTAAGAAAAATACTGAAGTCTTACAGCATCATGATGAATTAAACAGGGAAACTMTTTCTTTTCTAGAGAAATACTATTATCAAGCAGATGGCACACATTAAGTACAACATAGACTGCACTTCCCTCTCTCCATTACGATGTCTGTAATTTGAACAGAATGAAATATGCTAACATATCAAGTTATTTCCTATCAAGTGTAATTACATGCAGTACTAGATAAATGATAGGCAGATAGCATATGAAAGATAGAAATGAAAGGTAGATAAAGCTACCTTTCAGAGGATGTTGTAGTCTGAACAGCTCTCAAATACCGATAATTTAAAATAGCCAATTACAGTAACACTTAACGTGTTCAAAAACATGAATGCTCTTAACATATTTAATAAATATATAACCTAGTTTCTGATAAACATCATGTGCATCAGGTGCCAGGATTGTTATAAGTCAGGCTATAAGTCAGGCTATTTAAATTATACTTTAGATGATTTTTCAAATAATTTTGTTCCTTCATTTGTAGGTTTTCTATTATCTATTTTACCCAAATACCCCTGAGAAAAAAAAAGTGTTACATGCTTAAAAAAATATTGTTAACTATTTTCCAAAAGTGAACATTCCATATTGTCATTTTGCAGGCTGTGGGAAATCTTCTTGTTTATGCATCAATTTCTCTGTCAAAGCACATGTCTCAAGGAAAAACAACAAAGAATGTAAGGGGGAACTAATGATATGAATCAGCTTAAYGCTGCTAATAAGGCAGTATAAAGTGTCTGTGCCCTACTTATAGCTATTGTAAGACAAGGCAGGACAGCTTGGTCACACTTATTACTGTCAGAACCCTAGCTGAACAATGATGGTAACAGGTGATGACAATAGTGAAAAATTGTACATTTGCCCCAATACCTGCAGTTAAAACAGATGCCGCATACTTGTATTTGTTGTACTCCAGGTATTCACGGATGAGTTCATTGATCAGCAGGTTTTCATGGCACAGCGCTGGCCGTGGTTCGCTTTGGTCGTCCAGTGCATTGAAAACTTCAGCTCTGATCCTTGCCTTTATTTGCCCGAGCGCACCTCTTTTTTCCAGAGTGTCCTTTAAAACTATTATTGCAAAACAAACAAACAAGCAAGCAAGAAAGAACTGTTAGCATAAAGCCACGTGTGTATTAACCACAAACACTGTAAGCACAGTATGTTTTTACATGGACACTGATACAGATGATCCACCCATTTGCATGCCAGCAACTACACTGGGAACATTACAAATAAAAACTCAGATTGTAAAGAAATCAAGATTTAGTTTTGGAATAGTGAAGGGGTTCCGGTAATTTCAGAGCGCATGTGACGGCATCAGAGGCTGGAAGATGCTCTCAGCAAGCAGAGCCCCGAGCACGACGGGGACAGGRGCCGCGTGGCAGCGCTCGGGGCGCTTCCCAGCGGGCTCCAGGCAGAGTCGCAGGCCCCGCCAGCGGCTCCGAGGCCCGAGGGGCCGCTGGCCGCACGACGCGGTCCCGGCCGCCCTCCCCAGCGCCGCTCGCGCGTCCCCCGCCACCTGCTTTGAGCTCCGCCACGGTCGCCATGGCCCAACGGCTCCGCC